ATGTGAAATGTCCAGAATAGACAAATCTAGAGACAGAAAGTAGATTAGTGGTTGCCTAGGACTAGAGGAGATGGGGGAGCTTGGTGGATGACAGACAAAGGGCATGGTTTCTTTTAGACATAATGAACATGTTCTAAAATTGAATTGTGGTGCAGGTTGCACAAGTCTGTGGACATACTAAAAAACCACTGAATTTTACACTTCAATGGATGAATTGTATATGTGAATAATAGCTCAATAAAACTGCTACCAAAACAATCTACAGATATAATTACCTATAATCAGAAACATCTCTAGATTAAAAATACAATGAAAAATAAAAGGCTAACACACAAAGAGCTCTTGTGAATTAATGACTAAACTATAAACAACCTAAAAGAAAAATGGGCAAAAACACTTGAAAACACTATTTACAAAAGAAGAAACATAAGTGACTAAAAGTCACATAAATATTCAACATCTCTACTAATCAAAAAAATTAACCTACCAAAAAGTGCAACAATGCAAGGTGCTGGTGAAGGTGTGGGGAAATGGGTATTCTCTTCCTAAGGCTGTCTTAGTTTGCTTGGGACTGAGGGGTTTCCCAGGAAGCAGGATTTACCATGCCAAGCAAGATGAATCAGTCAACCTAAAGTACCAATTATAAAAGGGTACAACTGTTCTGGACAGTCACCTGGTAATACGTATCAGGAACATTTTTTACAAAATATATGCCCTTTGACTTGGAATTTGTACTACCAGGAATTTATTCTAACAAAATGTTCATTCAAAAAGTATTTGTAGAGGGCCAAATATCTACACTAGATGTTAGAGATGCTAAAATATACCTACAAGGATTTTTATCCCAGGCTTTTTTAACAATGAAAAATTGGAAATAACCTAAATGTTGAACTATTAGAGATTATTTAAATAAAGGATGCTTCATCTACATAATGAACTACTTTGCAAGCACTAAAAATGATGCTTGAGATGAATATTTATTGACATGGGAACATGGATACACTACATTGTTAAATGGAAAAAAGCATGTTAGAAAACTGTATACACCAGTAATCCCAATTTGCAAATAAGATATGTGTGTATAAACAAATGCCTCACCAGATAGCACCCCAAAATGTTAACAGTAGTGATCTCTGGGTATGGGGATTAAGGGTGAACATTTCCTTCAACTGTATTTCATGTTTTCTTTCTAATAAACACGAATTACTTTTATAACAATGCAACAAAATTCAACTACATTAAAAAGAAAAAACACCTACCATGCCCCCATGGGTGGAGGTCCCAAGGAAGGGGGTTGCAGAGAGTCAAGCACAAGTTCACACTTGACTGAGCAACAACCCCATTACTGAGTACCTACTACATGCCAGGTACACTGCACAGACCATCCCCTTTAATCCTCACAAGAATCCAGTAAAATGGGTGTCCTTTTCTTATTTGACAGATGCTAGATGACCCACCAGGAATCCCACAGCTAGTAAGAAGCAGAGCAGGGATTTGAACCCTGGCCTGCCTGTCTCTAAACCTAGGCCCTTCTTCTACCTTAGCTCCCTCTGCTTATTCCTAGGGAAGAGCAGAAAAAGGTCTCGAGCTATACTAGGCCCTCTGGTCTTGAGGGCTGGCTCTGTGCCGGCCCTTGTCCACCCTCCCTGCAGACAATCCAAGGGACAACAGACGGACAAGTCAGTAAGGGTAGGGACAGCAGCAAAGGGAAGGCGTGGTGCTGGAAGGCCAGCTGGCAGAGGTCAGCACTTGGGGCAGACTAGCTGGGGACTCCGCGCCCGCCAGGCGACTCTCAGGAAGCCCAACCACATCCGGCCCCAGGAGTTCCCAGGCCCGGTGCACACCCAGAAGCAGCCAGAGAAAACCTAGCAAGGCTTGCGGCTGCTCTGTTAAACAGCAGGAGGAAAATAGCCTGCCTTCTGGGACCTTTGCCCCAAGCTGTGACGGCTGGCCAGTCCTTTCACCTCTCTGGGCCTCCAGGGCCTCCTCAGCCTCCTCTGCTGTATGAGAAGGGGGTGTGAGGGCTGACAACACCAAGACCCTCCCAGATCTAGATTCTCTACAGCTAGGGCACATCCTCACATAGGGCCTGGCAGGAAGAGGAAGGGGCTGAGTTGCCCCACCCAACTCCTGAAGGAGCCCCCTTCTCTTCCCCTCAGTTCTCTCCAACTACTATTTTTAGAATAGACCACAGCAAGCATCTCTACCAGTCCTGCTGAGCTCGGAGCTCCAGGTAAAACACAGCAGCCCCATTCATTCTGCTCCAGCAAGAACACACCAGGAATTTATAGACAAGCAGCTGACTAGACAACCTCTGCCCACGCCATTAGTCAAGCCATTTCTCACTATTTCCATTACAGCCCAAAGTGGTGACTGACTTTTCCTAATGAGTGAGATGACAAGATCCTAAGGCACTCTGCACCCCTCCCTGCCTCCAATCTGGCAGACGCTTCAAAGCCCCTGAAGAGCAGCGCTGGCCTGGCAGGTAGGGATCTGGGTTCTTCCAGCTCTAGCAACATCTAAGCTCTGGCCCTTCTATAGTCTTGGTTTCTACAAATCAGCTTGTTAATCAATTGATCTGGTGGTGAAGGAGGGAGGCTTTTCAGTTCTACATTCAAAGGTTCTATAGTTCCATGAAAATTCTAGTCACTCATAAAATAAATACTATATTCTCTGCTTTTGGATATGTAAAACTGGGACCAAAACCATAAGAGCAGTTCTGATTAGGTCTCCTTTCCCTCCAACATGCCAGGAGTCAGCATGGAATATGGTGGTATCCATGACCCCGAAGTGAACCTGGACAGCTTACTTAATGAACCAGGTGGGGATCCAGGCTCTGGTCCCACAAAGCTGAGGTGCAACAGGAAAAGCATTGAGCCAAGAGAGTCAGGACACCTGATTTCTAGTCCTGACCATGCCACTAATTTGTCCCATAACCCTGGCCAGGTCACTTCCCCCTTTTTGAGCCTCAGTTCCTCATCTAGATTCTAAAACATGAAGGCCTTCAACTGTAGGGCCCAATTCAATTCTATAACATCTACTGAGCACCTACTAAGGATCAGGAAGTAACAGAATAAAAAATAAATAAGATTTGCCTCCACTGGTTCCCAAGGAGCTCTGAGTCTTGCAGGTGAGACATATCTATCTAACATGTTATAGGTGAACAAAACACTATGGGAATGCAGAGGGGGAAGCAATGACCTCTGATGCCTAAGACAGGTGCCTCAGGAGAGCCAAGCCGTGAAGATTGAGGATTGCATCCAGCAGGGACAACGAAGAAGGGCAGACACATCAGCCAGAAGAAATAGCCTAAACATGAATGCACACAGAGAGTTTGGCAAAGGAATAATCCAGTGTGGTCAGACTGTGGGTACAAAGCAAGAACTGTGTGGAGCAACCAGGGAGAACCTTGAGAGCCACGCTGAGACCTGGGCTTTATTCTGAAGACAATGACCTCCCACATGGTCTTGAGGCAGGAGTGAGTGTGACTGTTCAGCCCCCTCGGCCCCTCCCAGCTTGGATGGTGCTTGATTTCAAGCTGCAAAGCCGGAGAATAGAGCAATCAAAAGTAGATGCTCTGGAGTTGGGCTGCCCGGGTTCCAATCCTAGCCATCCCCTAGCTGTGTGACCTTGGGCAAGTTTCTCTAAGATTCAGCAGCTTCGTCTCCCAATTGGATATAATGAGAGTAAATGTGCAATGGGGATAATGCACCTCATGAGGCTGTAGTGAGGATTAAAGAGACAATGTAGGTCAAAGCCTGGCACCATGTCAGGCTCACAGTGTATATGCTCATTAAATTACCTAGTGTTATTATTCCGCCCTTAACAAGGATCTGGGAACAATATGGAGAATGGTGGCCCTATTCAGAGAAAGGCTGAGAGAAGGTAAAGTCAAGACATGATAGAAGATAAGGTTGTGCTGTCTTCATTGAAAGTCAAAAAAAGAGAGCAATATGGCCGAGACCATGAACATGACACAGAGAAGGAATCTGTCCACAGCCAGAGGGGCAGCAAGGAAGGAGGGGGAGGGCTGGAGAGACTGGAAAATTGTTGCACATTATAGGGAAAAGAGTCAGCTTAATTGGGGGATGTCTGAAATCTAACCCAGTTGATTCCCAGTTAAGTAATTAGGGCTGAAATTTAAAACCAGTCAATTAGCAAAATACAGCCCCAGAACTGGGCTCACCCGCCTACTTCAACAGGGCTTGGGTCAAAGCCCTCCTTCCAGGACTCCTGCTCAGCCCCCTTGGACCTGGAGCTGAAGCTGTGGCCATGGTTCCATTGCCGCCAGGTACCCCGAGACCATGTCTGCTGATCCTCTTGAACTCTGGACTCAAAAGGGAAAGGGGCTACCTGACTGTCTCCATTCCCCTGAGAGCCTGTCCTAAGGAGCCCCACCTTATCTGTCATATCAGACTTCTCAAATCTTGTGAAACTATTGATCTTTTCAGCCTGGGCCACCTCCCCCAGGAATATGAACTCTGGAAGTTTCTTCCCCAGTGTGTAGAGAATAAGGCCTGTCATTTATTTGTCCTAAAGTACCCCCACCAGAGTTTAAAGGACCACAGCTTCTACATGTGGCATGTCCTCCTCCTGCCTCTTCCTGGAGGAGATGATTGATTTTTCTTAGTTCCACCCCTAAAAGGCTACCTTTACATCTGAAAAGAGCAGTGGTTTTGGTTGAGAGGCCTTAGCTTGAGGACTAGCTCAGCCTCTTACCAGCTGTGTGACCTTGGATAAATCATTTAACTTCTCTGAGTCTTAGCCCTTCTCACCCATAAAATGAGGCTGCTGGGAGGCCTGGGGAGGTAATACTCTGGGCCCGGTTGCCCTCCCTGAAGCCCATGCTCTCACTGCAGGGAACCCTCCCACACTGGGAAACTGTCTTAGCCTTCCCTTTGCAGAGCCCCCTTGTTGCTGTGTGTGAAAAATGAGGGCTTTGGTGGAAGAATTTATGAAAAAAAAATTTACATAAAGAATTAATAAAAACAAGACATACATAAATAAATGTCATCATTATTTCCAACAGGTCCCAACTCCCAAAGGGTCATAGACCCAGGCCAGCAGAAACCAGGCGTGACCACTTCCAGGAGAGACAGAGTTTCCGAAGGCCCAGAGCCTGAGACATGAGAAAACACCAGCACAGGATCAGAGGGTGTGCAGGGCACTAAAAGGATCACTTTGTATTCAAATCGCACAGATGGCCTTTTCAACAATAAATGGTTGTGCTCCCATCCTCCCAGCTCCTGGGCCCGAGACACCAAACCAAGACAATTGGACCATCAGGAAAGAGACCATTGTGTGGGCTTCTTAGCGTGATTTATGTGGAGGGCGGGGCCAGCAGCATTTCCCGTGATTATGACTCTCAAATGCAATTTTGAAAGCTTGTTCATCATCCTGAATGGTTGGGATGCCCTGGGACGCTGAAGAGCAGTGGCCACCCGGTCATATTTCATCTTCTCGAGCCCATGGAACCAAATTAATTGTTTCATTGATTTGAGAGGCACAGCAGCAATGGCAGCGTGGATCACCGCAGTCACAAGGAAGACCAACCCAGGAGCTAATGTCTGTCCCAGTGGCCAGCCAGGCCTAGGGCCCTGAAGTGAGCATTCACTCGACTCGGCAGCCTCCCAGGACAAGCTGGGAGAAAAGCCCTGTCCCCAGGGATGGGTGCTGCATTCAGATTCTCCGTTTCCCTGTGGCCAGAACTCTTGTCCTCTGCATCTGTCTGGTGGACAGAGGTAGGTCACCAGGTCCCAGAGAGCATGGCTTGCTACCTTCCCAGACAGGCAGTTCTCCTGTGCCTCACATTCCCCTTAATGTCATTTTGTAAGGGACTCAAATGAAATCAAAGTGCAGCTTGCTGTCCTTGTAGACCCAGCTGCTCCACTGCTCAGAATTAACCCTGCAGACTGATTCCTGGCTGACAGGCCCTGTATCACTTGCCCCACTTCAGGCCATACCTGTTCCCCTGCTGGGTGGGGGCATGAGCCTGGTCATAGGCAGATACATCCATCCCCTGTTAGACTGCTGATGGGATGTGTCTGACCTTGCCTAGGCTGGGAGGAGGGAAAGTGGGAGGTGAGGAACATATTCTCTTTTAGGCCACCCTTCTTGGAGTTCAAGTGGCCAGAGAAGCTGTGCAAACTCACCAGGGCACAAGAACCCTCTCTAAAGACACTGAGAAGGTCTTATAGGACTCAGTGCAGAGAGTGTCCATGGTCCAGGGACTTCTCTGGCCTGAACCATCTCTCCAGCCTCTCTGACTCCCTTTTTCTTTGCAAGCAACACTGGTCCTACCCATTCTCCTTGTGTGTGAGCTATGTCACTCAGATCTGTGGCCTTGGGCTTCCCCTGATCTAGGGCTTGGCAGTTAGAAAAGGGTGTGAGTGCTGCCCAACCCCAGGCTCTGGTGGCAGGTGCAGCAATGAGCAGACTGAGCTCTAGTCACTGTCCCCTTGGCAGGTCTTCCTTTATCCTTGTGGCAGGAACTGTGTTCCCTGGAGTGCTGAGCCACACCTAGCCCTGGTCCCTGACTCTTAGGAGCTCTGCAGATAGCAAATCAAGTCAGTTTCTAAAAGGCTGTGTTCCAACTTCCTATAAGACCATTCAGCATAGGATGGAGGGAGCACACAGGCAGCCCTTGCTATGGCCTGGGGGCTGTGAACTTTCCCGCCTTGACCAGGCCAAGAGCACCCTGCTCCCAACTCCCAGGGACACTCTCAGAGCTCAGCTCTGGTTCCTACAGAGACCTGGCCCAGAGGAGCCTCTGTGAGGAAGGCCCCAATCCTCACTTGCACCCAGCATGGAAGCAAGACACAGTGGAGGATGACAGCAAAGCGGGTGGAAGGACAGAGAATTATCTCTTCTCCTCCCAGACTTTCTACCATATACCAGACTCTGGGCATTCCCATACCCTGCTCTGCAGCCACTGCCCAGAGGGGCCACCATCACCCCTCACCTGGAAGATTGAAGGGAACCCCTAACTAATCTTCCCACACCTACTTGGGCCCCTTGTTGAGCTCTCTGATCTTCTAGAAATGTACCGAGACTCTCTGAGTCACCTTCTCAAAAGCCTTCAGTGGCTTCCCACTAAATCTAGAATGAAATCAATAAAACATTAACCACCAGAGCCCTGTGTGATCGGGAGCCCATGCACCCCATCCATCTGCCTCCTCACTAAGCCCAGCCTCACTGGCCTGGCCTTCGTTGCCCCAGCCAGCCAAGCTCCTTGCCATTTCAGGTACTGTCCTCCGGATGTTCCATTGGCCTGAAACACTCTTCCCAAAGTCCCTGCCTGGCCAACTCCTTTCTGGCCCCCAGACCTCAGCTTAAAATTTATGACCTGCCCCTGCCCCCACCCCACCCACACATAGCAATCTAAATAATATTCTTTTCTTAAGGAATCTGTTCTTTTCCTTCATAACATAGTTTGTAATCACATGTGCATGTGTGTGTGTGTGTGTGTTGGTGGTGATTTATTTAATGCTCACTCCCCTACATGGACTGTGATCTTGGTAAGCTCAGAGACCTCGTCCATCTTATTCTCCACAGTATCCCTAGCTCCTAGCACAGAGCCTGGCATAAAGTAGATGCCCCCAAAATATCTGTCGAATGGAAGAATGAATAAAAAGTGAGTGAATGGGTGGCGATATCTTCTGGCAGCGGAGGGTCATGGCAATGTTCTCCATCAGAGCTGACCTCTCCCAACCTCTCCTGCTGCCCCAAGGCAGACGCTGGGACCACCAGAAGCTGAGATGCTATTTCATCAACTCCTTCCTTGTAAGGAATCAGTTTCTGAGTCTTCTCCACTTGGGACTCTCTGATGCCAGTCTGCACATGCCCATAGGGCCTCTCACGCCACTGCGGTCCTTCTGATGCCAGTCCATACACACCCACGGGGCCACTCCCTTCAGATGACTTAGGCCCACCATCTTGGTCCTCCGTTTTGGCTCCAGTTGAGGTGTGGTTACTGTGCGGTAGGGGATGCCCAAGAAAGGGTTAAGTTGCCAGAAGCAGAGTCCCGCCCTGGGTTTGCTCAGCCAATCAGAGTCTGTTCTGATGAGGTAAGGCTTCTATCCTGGGTAGAATTGGTTGAGTTGGCAAGCCCCATCTCCTGCTGGAGAGAGCCATAAGGGTGGAGTTTCTGTGGAACCAGACAGAACTGGAATTAGGTCGCTGTCTACTCAGGCCAACGCTGCCTGACTCCAGGACCTGTCCCTGCTACTTTCTAAGGTCCTCAGACAGACCTTGGCATCTCCAGGGCCCTGTCTCTATCTGCCAAGTGATGATGATGACAAGATGGCATACACCTCGGCGTCACATCTGGGAGAAGTCCTACAGCCAGCCAAAGCAGACGCAGGAGCCTCAGTTTCCCTGCCTGGGCCCTGGAACATGGCAGGTGGTTACCAGCAAGTGATATGGAACAGTCCTCATATGTGCTCAGAGCAGCAGCATTCAGCTTCAATAAACAAGGCCACTAGAGGAATCTTCCTATATAGGAAGATTAAAATAATAATAATAGCAGCTAATTCAGAGTTCTTCTTGTGCGACACTTCACTAAGCACATTACATGAATTTAATCCTCATGAGAACCCTGTTAATCCATCCATTTCACTGATGAAAAAAACCAAGTCTCAGAGAGGCTGGGTGCCTCGCCTACAGTCACAGAGTGATAAGAGTTTGCACCTCCCAAATCACTTACTATGTCATTTTTGATCTGTTGGCATATCTGTCTCCGCCACTGGACTGTGATCTCCCAAAGAAAGAGTGTGACAGACTCCTCTGTGCACCCCCACCAGGTAAAGCGCCAGGCTGCTCTGCACACTCCTTATCCCTGGCAGCTCGGCCGAAAGCCCACTGTCCTCAAAGGCTTCCTGTTGCCCTGGCCAGCGCTGGGCACACTGTGCAGGCTCAGTGAAGGGTCACTGAGTGGACGGCGAATGTGCAGCCAAGACCCCCCACACTGCACTTAGGACCCGACAGGCACAGCCTTTAATGCTTGGATTGTCACTCCAGCGCCCTTGAACTTCTGTCCAGTTATAGGAGAATTCCATAAGGACAAGGACCAGGTCTCACCCATCTCTGTGACCGAAAAGGACCTAAACTAGTGTCCAACACAGAGCAGGCACTTATTACATATGTTTGATTGAATAACCAAAATAATATGTGTCATCCGTCCCTCCCAGGTTAGAACCTCACTGGCCATAGGTAGGACCACCCATGAGTCATTCTGCATTAGCTGAATGTTCTGAGGCCGAGAGTTCTGTAAGTTATCCCAGGCAGAAGAAGAAAGGTAGGTTCCCCTCCAGGGCAAGGGGGCAGAGTTCTGATGAGGAGGAAGGGAGTGATGAACAGAAGGAAGCTGGGCCACTGAGTTCTACAGAAAGAGGGGGAGTGCACAGGCCAACCCACAGCAGCCTCCTACCTACCATGGTCAGCCAGAAAATGAGCTGAAGAAAGGCAACGGAGTCCCCAGGCAAGAAGAGCTGCAGTCTGGCTGCTGCTGGCCTTGTTCTATCCACCCTGCCTCAGGTGGGACCCCCATCCTACAATCCACAGGTACCTCGGAGATGGTACAGAAAGACTGTAACTCCCCCCACCCCAAAGAGGGGAACAGATCTGTCCCCTAATGGCAGGTTTCACAGGCAGTCAAATTATGCAGAAGTCTTCAACGTATAGTTCTCTGATGGAGACTAGACAGAACCCAGGCCCTCAGCTTTCATGGTAATCACAAAGCTTGAAGAGCTAGAATGAGCCACCTGACCAATGTGCAAATGGGACCACTGAGACCATGCGGAGGCCATGCAGAAAGTGGTTCCCAAGCGTCAAAGCAGACAAGGGCATACCCACCTCTCTATTGTTCTTTGAATCTATCTTCTTCTAATCCCCTCCATCCTTCCCAATACACATGTCATATTCAAGGCATATCATATTTATTATGATTTGCAAATTTGGGAAGAACTTTGCATTCCTTAAGATGTTTGAAGAATCCCCCATTCCAAGGTATCAGCAAACACTGTTGAACATAGTTGAGAAAGGGCAGCATGGGAGTTCAGGGAGTTGCCTTGCAGACTCCTCTTTCCCCAGAGAAGCATTTGAGTTGGTGTGGAGGGGTTAGGGAGTGGCTCGGGCAGTGTTTTCCATTGTGCATCAGAAGGCAGAGCATTCACAGAAAAAACAAAGAAAAGGCATTTAATAAAGACATGCTACTCAGTCAGGACAAATTGATCAAGCAGGACTCTGCCTGTAAAGCAAGAAGCCGGTGTCCGAGCTCTGTCTGGCCTTCCCTCTTCTGTCTTCCCTGGAGGACAGCAACCTCAGTGGAAAGGCTATGGGCCAGCCCTTGGCAAAAAGGTTCACATCACCTCTGAGGCTGCCAGGACCTGACAAAGCTGAGCACTGTGGCCCAGCTGGACAGCCACCTGGGCCATGTTGTTAAGATTGTTAAAGCACTCCTGGAACTACTGGCACTGGAGAAATCATATCTACCAGAACTTCTCTCGGGGAGATTTCTGTAAGTGACCTGGTCCTTCAAAGGAAGAAGTTGCTAAAACCCTGTAAGTGTATAGGGGTGGGAGAGTGGGAAAGTTAGGGCAGTGAGACCCCCAAGAGGCCTGCCTAACAAAAGATGGTTACAAAACCGCCTTCTAAGGAGGATCTGCCAAGTGGGCTGTGCCAGGGCCCAGTTCTCAGCCGAGGGGGCAATCCTGAGGCTGTCCCAACCGTCAGACCCTCCTTCACCCTTCTCCGGCCTAGTACATACCTTCTCCATTATATACACATTAAAGAGTTTTGATCTGGAAAGGTGTGCAACTGTTGCTGGCCCAGGGGTCCCATATATCTCAGTGTGATCCTGAAGCCAGGCCCTAAATACTGGGTCCCTTCCAGGGTCAGCCAGCCAAGCCTGCAACCCTGCAGGAACCAAAACCTGTCTCACAACCTCAGCCTACCTTCAGCCACTCAAACTGTCCTTCTGACAGTTTGGAGAGACCCATCCAAAGACACTGAGAAGGCTGTTGCAATACGCTCCAAAATCCTCAGTCTCTGAAGTTGACACAGAAAGAACTCTTCCCCCAGACCAGAAGCTGTTAAGCCCAATACAAAAGAATGTTGCAGGACACAAGTCAGCCATGTAACATCCTAGGGGCAGCTCCAGTGACAAGGGAGTAGCCTGGATACTGACTGAGACCAACCTGGGTCAAGGGCACAAGGCGGTGTTGTTGACACCTGTGGTGTTGGTGACAGGGTATCTGTTCAGCAGAACCTGCCAGCCTGACACAAGCAGCCCGGTGGAGGTGGGGGCAGTGAGATCAAAGCTAGGGTTGATTGAGTGCCTACTGCATGCCACAAAAACCCTTTGGGAGAGGAACCTTGTCCCCAGACGGGGATACTAAAGCACTGAGTAGCACAGTGACTTGCCCAGTCAGCAGCACAGTGTGACTCAGAAGTCCTTGCTCTTCCCTCTCCTCCCTCATCAAAGTTATTCTTGCCTCTGGCTAGTGTCAAACAAGATAACTTTCAAGCCTGAGATGATGTAATTCTCACACGCTCACTTGTTACTTAGGGAATAGCTGGGGAACTGCTGTCCACCACTGCCCCTCCAGAAGCAGCAGCCCTGCCGCCTACCCTGCAGGTGCCCTCAGGAGGCCGGCCCCCCGCCCCCTGCCCATAGCACAGGGGGCCTGAATGAGCCAGAAGGAGCAAGAAGGCCAGCAGGTTTTCTGGATGCCTCTCGGTTTCATTTCTCCTCCTCCTGCTGCCTCAGCAGATCAAGCACCTCAGCTCCCTCCGCAGCCAGCCAGACCAACTCCCAAAATGGCCAGTGCTTTTAGCAGAAGGGACCTGGTGACTCACAAATGGGAAATACCACTGCGCCTCGTAGTTGACATCCGAGTGACAAAGGGCAAGGCTGTGTGGTCCAGCTCCCAACTCACTCCCCTCCACAGGCACCAGACCAGCTGAGGGGTGCCTGTCCCAGATCAGCCTCAGCTGGGAGTCTGATCTTCCCTGAGGCTCCAGCTGGCCAGCCCCCAGTCCCCAGCAAACACGCGTTGGCACCATTTGGCTGGGGCCTGCATCAAACGAGAACAGCTTCTGCCGCAAACATCTCCTCCCAATTACGTCTGCCTTGGGCCAGTGTTAAACACCAGTGTGCTACCCCTGGGCATGACCTATCCAATGGCAGAGGGGGACCACATGCCTGGCAGCAGCAGGGAAGCTGGCCCAAATGAGACCTTGCCAGAGAACAGGGCTGAGAACTGATGGGTCATGCTCAGTTTGGCTCTGTCGCTCTACCTGAGCAATGCGAAGCCCACTTAGTAGACCCAGTGAAATGCCAAGGGGGAGAGGATTCAAGCACACGCCTCTGCGCCAGGAGCTCGTTGCCCAGATCCAAGTCCTAAGCGCAGGCTGGTCCCAAGCTCAATGGGGAGGCTCCAGGCTGGTGGAGGCGCCCCCAGGCAGCCAGGGCTGTGGCCCCTGGAGAGGCCTTACCTTGCTCTCCGGGGGGGAAGCTGCCAGCTGTTGCTGCTTAGCGATGTTCTCCGACAGGCGCCAGCACACTCTCCTCTTCTGCTCCTGCGAGTGCGCCTCCAGAGTGAACAAGCACTCTGCCTTCTGACGTCAGGGAAAATCGAGAAAGGGATGGTCAGGGCTGCTCCCTGGTTCCGGGGGGTCCCAGGCCCAAGCCCATCCCTGGGCTCCAGAGGGTGAGGCTGCAGCAGGGAGGGGAGTGCCTGCTAAAAGCCACAAATGCACACCAATCCCCAGTGACGTCAAGGCAGCCAGCGGAGCAGGGAAGCTGGTTCAGGGGCCAGCTGGTGAGCCATGTGCCCCTGGGTTGAGGGGAGGGAAGGAGGCGGTGATTCCCAGGACCATGGAGTCCCATGGAGAGCCACAGGACAGAAACGGTGAGGTCACCCCCAGGGACAGGCAGCACAAGGCAGCAGCTGGGAGAACATGTGCGAAACCCAGAGGGCCTAGGTCTCTGGCCTTCTGATGCTCTGTGGAGCCAGGACCCCCTCCCCAAGCTCACGGAACCCCCTCCCCAACCTCAGCACACCATCTGACCACAAGGCCAAGGTTAGACAGGTGGTGGGACAGACATAACAGACTCAAACAGAAATTCACGTCCCTTTAGAAAGTCTTTGGCGGCTCAGTCAGGCAGCCTTCCACAGCCCCACTGCTGCCTGGCACGTGAGCTGGGGCTGATCAATGACTGTTCAGCTCAGATGAGTGCAATGACATCTCAGCACTAGTACTTCTGTCATTTAAATCTCACTTTGCTCTTTAACCTCGCAAAGTGCAGTCTCATCTCCCAACTAAACTAGCAACTCCCTCTAGGAAGAACTTTGTTTTTGCATCTAAGCCTAGCACAGCACTTGACAAGTAATGGCCTTGGTAAGCTCTGGCTCCCTGGAGGACTTCTGGGATGAGGTCAAATCCAGGTCAGCTTTGGCACAAGCACCAGGGAGCTGCCAGACCCAGGGAGTCAGCCCTGAAGCAGTCAGAGTGTGCTGGTGGTGGGCGGGGGGAGGGGGTCAGTACAGCATGCCCAGCCCAGTTATCATCCACTGTAGCATGCTCTGATCAGGGGATTGCAAGCTCTTTCTGACTCTGCTGGAATTTGATTATAACCCCACAGGGCTGTGATTAGATGAGCTCAGCCAGGCAGCTAAGAGCATGAGCTGGGTGACTAGGAACAGAGAAAAAGACAGTGTTTCCACACAGTCCTTCCTTGTTTTGCAGCTGGGAAGGCCTGGTTTGAATCCCATCTTTGCCACTCCCTCGCAGCTGACCTCGGAAAAGTTTGTAAAATGGGAATGACAATGACATCACCTACCTCTCAGGGCTAGCAGGAAGCCAAGCAATGAGGACAATATGAGGCCTCAACAAACAGCAGCTATTGTTGTCATTACTCTGAACTCCATTTGCTTAATAAGTATTTATTGAGCATCTGCTATGTGTCAGGGACTGTACTAGACCCGGGGGGTAGAGGGAAATAAGAGAGATGGAGTTCTTGCCCTCAAGTTGGAGGAAGAAACAATAAGAAGCCAAGAAGATGGCTAGAGGAGGCCTCTCTGAAGGGACAGCACACAAGTGAAGGACTGAACAGTGAGGAGCCAGTGAGGAGAGTGCTCGGGAGAAAGTGTTCCACGAAGAAGGAACAGAAAATGCAAAGGCTCTGAGCTGGGGTGTTTCATCAGCATCACCTAATAGCATTTGGGGACGTTTTTTCTACTCTGCCATCCAACCCCACCCATAGGGATGCTGCACTTCCGAGCCGGGCCACCTCCCATGCTAAGTGTTCCCAGGTGCCAGCTGTGTGACTCCTGCCCCAAAGTGCTCAGAAACTGATCTCCTAGAAGCATCAGAGGGGGACTTAAGAGAACTGAGTGGACGTGGTGAGGCAACACTGCCACTTAACAGATGCCCTCCATTACCCACCGCGGGGGAAGGACACACCCAGCAAAAGACCCCAAGATTCCCCAGGGAGAAGCTGGGTGGGGCAAGTAACGCAAGGACCCTCTGTTCCTTGTCTCACTGTGCCCCCACTGCAGGGTGAGGCATGAGGCAGGCACTATGGTCCCTGCCAGCTTGGAAAGGCCATCACTCCACAAAGCTGGCCCTGGCCCCAGCCTCCCAGCCCTGTCTCTACCTAGCTGTTTGGGTTTCAGCAAAACCCTTAATCTCCTTGAGCCCCAACTTCCTCTCTTTCTGTTCTGAAGCAGGCACTCTGCCTTAATAAAAATTCATTTCATCTAATTGTCAATTTTAAAAAATATTTCTCCATCCATGATCTCATTTTGATCTTGACAGTTCCTTGAAGATGTAGGGAGGGCTTGGATCATTACTCCCATTCTGTAGAAGGGAAAAACCAAGGTTCAGATAGGCCACGAGCCGCCTGAGATCTTACTGCCAATGAGCAGCAAAAGGAAGACTCACAGCCGTGGAGAACCAACTGCTGAGATTTCATCCCCCAAACCTGGGAGCCTCCGCGGCGGCTGTCACAGCACTGGCTGGCAAGAATGCTCCCCTTGCAGACTGTGCCTGGAGGCAATCAAGTGCAAAGGCCTTCAGAAGGATTCTGTAGGCAAACGGGCCTCAGAGCAGCTGCAGAGCTCACTGGTGGCTTTTTGGGCACCTCTGCACTGCTGAGGTCTGGGAGGGTGGACCCCTCCTACAAAGGGCAAGGAAGCCTCCCTATGCTGAAGGGACCTCTCACAGGAACAAGGCCACCTGCCCCCTGATCCTGACACATCGTCTCACATACTGAACCCACACAGGGCTAAGCACTTCACCAGCAGTGCCTTGGCCTGTCTTCCAACAACCTGCAAGGCAGTGGCTGTGATTATCTCCATTTTACGGGCAGACACAAGAACCACCCTGCCCTTCCTTGCTCTGTGGATAATCTCCTTTGGAAAACCACATTTTTCTACCCAGGATGGCGGCCATATTACCTGTCTCAGCAGTAGAGTTCAGGGCTGGGTCTCTGGCTCTGAGAACCTGGAGCTGAAAACCTCAGAATGCTAGAGGACCCAGACTTCTGAGGCACCAAAGACCTACACGTGGACTGGCCCGGGCAGGGGCTGGCTGCCTCAGATGGGCCAACACTCTGGGGAGGCCCGTGCTCCCAAGCCTCCTCTCCGTGCTGCCTAGAGCCTTGGAGGCTGGCCTGGCCAAGAGAAAGACCACAGAGCCAGCTCCCTCCAGGGAGGCAGAATTCCCATCTGCCTAAATCCGTCGAAATCAGGGGTGCCCATTGCCTGACTGGCTGCCCGTGTATGAACAGTCTCTCTGAATCCACTGTGATCCAACTCATTGGTTTCTCCACTGTTGCACACTGTGCTCTCAGATACCAGGCTCCAAGGTCAAGGCTGTCCGCAGCCTAGAAGACATCCTCATGTCATTCACAGACAGGCAGGGCCTCCTGACTCAAGGGTGGTTAGTGCTGACCTCTCCAGACGCAGCAGCTCTGGGCTTGGACGTCTGCATCCAAACATGAGCACCCCCAAATCCAACCAGAAACCCAGCTCCTCTTGGCCTCTTTAAAACCCCCATCTTGCCTCACCTCCTTGTCCCTGAAGTATTGGCATCTCTGTGAAAACTAAAATCTCCTATGCTGTGATTGGTTTGCTCACTTGCTTTGACAAACATCCTCTCATTTAATTCAATTCTGATGGCCCTGTGACATAGGGAGGGAGGGAAGGCACAGCTGGCACCTTTTTTCAGATTGGAAAACTAAGGCTCACAAAGGTTAAGGCAGGGACCTCAGGCCATCTCAGGAGAGGAGATTCAAAGTCTGTTTTCTGCCTCCTCCAGAACCTGACATCTTGCTACATTTGTATAAGTATGTAAGTACATTACAAAGAATGTGAGCTACTCCTCTTCCTTCTGAAAAGATCAATAAATCATTGGTGATGTCTCTAATGGAAAGTAAATGAATATGAAAGGCTCTCCTCCTGTTATGAAGCTGACAATAATAATAGCTACCATTTATTGAGCACTCACTGTGTGCCAGGCTCTGTACTAAGTGCCTTGGACACAGTATCTTATTGAATCTCATTTAATCATTACAACTACTCTGCAAGGCAGGCCTCATCTGCCTTGCTTCAGAGATGAGTATGTGACTTGCCCAGGTCACTCAGGAAATGGCAGAGCCAAGATTCAAACCTAGGTCTTCCTAACCCCTTAGCGCAGACTTTTAAATTAATGGAGCCAGGATCAGATTCTAAGTTAGAGAATGGTCTCTGACCAATGTGCCCTTTGACCCGCCACCCCCAGTGCTCTGAAGGCAGTAGCAGGGTGCATCAATCTTGTGGATTTGCAGGGGCTGAGTGACACCTGTCCAGGAGAATAGAGACCCCAGGTCCAAGAACTGTTTAGGACCATCCTACCCAGGACCTATTCCTGGGGAACACTCAGAACTGTTACCACCCAGACAATCATGGCTTTCTGCATGCAGCAGAAAACCCTCTCCAAATCCTGTTCTTTCTCTGGGTGCCTCCTGCACGTTAGGCAATGGAGGGAACCACTTGTCAGAAGTTCCAACTAAGAAGTGAGTTGGGGGTTCTTAATGGGAACCAAAACTATCATGTCAAGCCTGTTTCAGGCTACAGAGCATGCAGTATCTTGTTTTCCCTGAGTTACCAATATGCCTCTCATTAATAGCAGCCCATTAAGAGAAAAGAGAGTCTATCGGCTGCTTGTGAGCTTCAATCCCTGTTCCTTAGGGTCAGATCACCTGGCACTTGAGTGAAATAAAAGGCCCTGGATCAATATCCCTTCATCAATCTTTGGAGGGCTAGGAAGGAGGTCACAGCTCCCTGGAAACCAATAAGCAGAAGTGGTTTTCTGTGGAAAAACAAACCCAGCCTGGCAGAAAGTTCTTTTGGCATCAAAGAACTTGGAACTTCATTTCAGGACCTGCCAGAGAAAACTGGAATCCAGAGGGAACCCAGAGGCTGAGAGGGCAAATGCTCTGGCTCTTCCCAGCCTGGCTCAGCTTCTCAGATGCCCACTGGGCTCTGGGGAACTGAACACCTGCTGGCTTTCAAGTGCCTCTGCCAGTTACTTACTGTGCCCAGTGGGGATGTGTTGGCAAAGGGAGGATAGCCAATGCCTTCTTGGCCCTCAGGGTGCCATTCTAGGCAGTCAGGATCCCCAGCTCAGCTCCAACCATGTGCACTAACTACCCTTTGGAACTCTCTGCTCTTCTCTGGAGCTGACCTTCCACTCTGTCTTCTCCCACAGGGGTCTGCTCACCCAAGGGGACTCTCTTAAAGGCCTACACCTCTTATCTTAGCCAGGAACCAGAGAACTGATTTTCAGTCACAAGGAACACACACACTCCTTCTCAAAAGGGTGCACTCCTCTTAGCCAGCCAGTGTAGACCATGCCCCACCCACAGGGTCTTGTCCCACAAGACAGGCCAGTTCCCAGGACTGTCGGGTGGGACGGATAAGCAGAAGCAAAGGACAGGAATGGGTCCAGTGAATCCCTGCTTGGCACATATACTTCCCCTCCTCATATTAGTACAGATACAAGGTTGGGAATAGATTCACTTAAAATTGAAAAGAATTCCTGTGGCTCTGTGGCTCCCAAGGACTTTTTCATCACCAAGGATGTCTTTGATTAAGCCCCTGGTTTAGTGATATACAATCTCCCAAACCGTATCAAGCAATAGGTTCTTTGTCTGATTTTGCTCAGCAATGGCAGAGCACACCCATCCACGCTTCCAATCAGACTGAGATAACCAGGAATACCAATCACACTGAGTGGGTATCATTCCAGCCCAAAACACAGACACCCATGTCTTTGGCCTATATTATCTGGCCCAAGTAAAGGTACAAAAGCCTTCAGGCCTTTTGAAACACTGATGAGACCCTGTGGGAGGAGTGTCAGGTGGTACCTCCTGGAAAAAGTGGGAGAAAGAGGTATGCACAAGAAACAGGGCACTCTCCAGAGGAAGGTCTACCAAACAAATAAATTGGTGATGCCCAGGTATCAGGCCACAGCCTCCCTGTAACTCCTGCTAGAGAGCAGGAGATCCTGAGTGGAGGTCAGTCTCCCTCTGTCCTCTCGAGGCACTGCCATGCCACTGCTCTTCCGCACAGAGGTAGGAGACAAAGGCGGGGACTACTGTTCCCACGCCACAGAGCAGGGAAGTGCCATTCTAGACCTGCCCCGAACCACCACAGGAGAGGCCGAGAACCTGGACCAGAATCCGGCCCATTTCTTCTCTCTCTAGTGCCAGGTCACAGATCTCTCTCCTCGAACTCCGAGACAAGGACTCACCTCTGCTAGATACAGCACACAGAACTTCAGGTCTTCCGAAGAACCTTTGAAGGAACAAAAAGTAAGACTGGCATTAGAGTTGGCTCCAGGGTCTCAGCAATTTGCTCCAGCACAGCCAGTGTTCTCACCAGAAGGCTTTGTGTGGTAGCTCCTGGGAAAAGAGGAAGAAAGGTGCAGGCACAGAAGCCAGAGAAATCTCTGGAGGAAAGCTCATTTAGTAACTAACCAGGTTGAGGCACAGCTGTAAGGCCTTGGCCTGCAGGTCAGCCATACCCAGGGGATGCTGAGATCTCACCCCCATGAGAGGTAACCCGGAGCACCCTCTGGGCATCAACCAGCCAGTGCAGAGAGCTGTCATCCATTCCAGGAGGCCTCCTCCTTTCCATGCTTCCTGTAATGAGGGGCACAAAGGCAGCACACATATGAGTTGGAGTTTAAATACGCCAACTGCCTTCACCATTTTGAAATTCAACAAGGAGCCACTTAGTCACTGGGTGGGCCTTGTTTCCCACTGAGGAATGTGTGGGTTGTGCAGGGGCATCCCAGTCATGGGCAGGGTGGAGCCCAGGGATGGCTTTCCAGCCCAGCCCAACCCCTGGGTATGTTTTCCTAGAGCCACCTCACCCCTTGTCTAGAATCCCAGAGTGAACTGCTCATTAAGTTCCCTCCACATGGGAGGCAGCTGAGAGGGACTATGGGCTGCTCCCCACTCCTCCAGCAGAGGAGCTAAGGTAGAATCCCTACAAAAGACATATTTGGGCAGAATGCTCCAGAAACACAAAGCCCAAGAGATGTCCCCCAGCTGGTGGGGAAGGCTTCTGGATGAGGATCTTTTTGAGCTTGAACTCCAAATGGGAAGGGCACTCCAGGAGGTAGGAACAACATGGGCAGAAGCATAGAGGCAGAGAAGCACAAGTTGTGCTCAAGGGGCAAGTGTGGAGAAGGAGCCCTGACCTCCAGCAGCATACCTTCCCTGACCACTGCCAGCCACCGCTCAGAACTGGGCAGCACTCCCCACCGGGGCATTCACATGGCACACACGGCGATAATTAGTAGCTGCCTTTATTTCTAGCAGTCGACCTCTCTAGGCAGGTTGTCATTTTGGGGGGAAGCAACTATACATGTAGAACAGCAAATACAGTGCCACAGAACTTAGAGAACCACAGTACCATGTGCCAGCCATGGGGCCCAATGCTTTTACATGTGAAGCTCAACCCCCAAACAGCCCTGATGAGGCCGGGCTTGTTATCATCCATGACTCAGGTGAGAAAACAGGTACAAATGGGTGGAGTAACAAGCCCAAGGTCAAAGGGAAAACACAGGATTTATACCCAGGCAATCTGGCTCCAGGGCCCACATCCCTAACCACTATAGATCCGACTCCCAAATACCCACCGCACAGGCCCTACCCAGGCCCTCTGCCCCTCAAGGAAGCAGGCCCAGGCTGAGCTCAAAGCAGGTCCCTCAACACACAACTGAATCAAAGAAAGTGTCCAAGAAACCAAAATGTGTTGCAAAGTAAAGGTGACAAGGTAAAAAGAGTCAGTGGGTCAAGTCAATTCCTAAGAAAAGTAGGAAGTGGAGGCCTTCAGGTGGATGAAGGCCAGGCCTGCAGAGGCAAGTATGTGGGTGGTTTCCTGCACCAAACTAGCCCTAGGGCTGGTGGCGCTACCAAGTGCCAGATAAAAATAATCCATAAGTAAATGGGGGTTCACTTTGGGCTTAGAATAAATTCTTCTTCTCCCCACCCAGAAGTGGGTTGGAAGGGAGAGAGGAAGCCCTGCCTAAGAAGCCTATCATGTTTAAGAAACCCCTCATTTCAAAGCTTCTGCCAATTCCTTGCTTTGCTGAGGGTGGAGACAAGGGGAGGTGGTTTTTTTTGTTTAAAAAAAGCACTCTAGACATTCCCTTGACTTTCCAGAACCTGATCTTAAGAGCCAAGGGAGAAACAAAAAGATCTCTGTAAGAAAATAGTACAAATTTAGGTTTTAGAAGCTGGCAGTGAGAGAAGTGAAGGCTCTAGAAGGGAGGGGAAAGCCAAGGAGATGGGATCCTCAGGTAGATGGTAGGTGGAGGTTGGGAGAATGCAGCCTATGACACCTTCCCAATGGCAAGGAATGGCGACAACTGCCCTGACAACTATTCTATGCTATGACAGCCCCCACCACCACCCTCCTGCAGTACCTCAAACCTTCACTGAAATCAGCTCCACATCACAGCCTTGTGCCGGCAGCCCTTGGAGAGAAGGGCAGGATGGGGGCAGTGCTCAGCCTGGCTCAGAGTCCCATAAAAGGACAACAAGCCTCAGGAGTCTCGGGGGCCAGGAGGGAGCCACAGCTGTGGGAAAGAAGACTGCCAGGTATCTGACCCAGGAGGGAAACCTCAGCCCCACCAGAAACCTTTCTGCGACGTTAGGTTGGGCTCTGGACTCTCCAGAGCACGGAAACAGAGGTCAGTGTAACGGAAAAGAGACATAAGGTGACACATATTTGGGTTTTCCATCCAACACTCCCACTGCTTTTACCATTTTGACATCTCACAGGGAGTCATTTGGTTCCTGGGTGAACCCTGTTTCCCACCAAGGAATGTGGGTTGTGCAGTGGGGGGGTCCAGAGATGGCTTCACCATCCAGGTCTCAGCCCAATGACCTCTTTCCCAGAGCCCTCTCAAGCCTGGTCTGAGATCCCAGACTCAACCATTCACCAAGCCCTCTCTACCCTGTGGGACAAGCCAGGAAGATTGCAGAAACTGAGGCCTAGGGAGAGAAAACATGTACAAAGTATTCGGTGAATAAATGACAGAACTGAAATTTGAACCCAGGACTGCCCACACCCAAAGCCTGTGTTCTGACCACTGCATCACCCTTCTGCCCTCCACCCACCACTCATTTACTCGTCCGTCACTCCACCAGACAGTGCACTCCAGAGGTGGCAATGTGTCTCTTCCACTGCTAGCACCCTGGAAGCCAATCCTGAGGTGGGCTCTTAGGGTGTGCTCGGCAAATGTCAACCAACTACATTTAACTCCATGCATTCCAGCAGCTGGGACCTAAGCAGCTGTTTCCAAGACTGAGCACCTGGCTCTCCAGGGCAGCTGGAGAGCCCAAAAATCAGCTGGATGTTTCCAGGCCATCCTGAGAGACCAGAGCAGGCCAGGAAGACATGCTGTGGGTGGAATGCTGGCCTGCCTGGGAGGCAAAACACAAAGCACAGCAAAGCCAGTGGGCGGCAGAGGCAGGAAGAGCCCACAATGGGCCCCAGATGACCGGAGATGTCCCAATTGTTAGCACCAGTTCTCCGCCTGTTCCCATTATAGGCCCGTTCAGCCCTGCTGAAGCACAGGGGAAGCTGGGTCAGAGGAGGGCAGGCAAGGCTGAGTGGCCACGAGCTGGAAGCCTTGCAGGAGGAGTGCACTCCAGCCCCCACGTGGTACTTCTGGTCTCCTTTCAGTTGCTCATTCATTCACTGAACAAACATGTATTAGGCACCCATGATGCTCTGCGCCTCATGCTAGGCCCTGCCAGTATGCTTGACCAGTGGAGGTATGCACCCTTCAGACAAGCCACACAGGGAGACCTTAGGCCCAGTGTGGGGCAGATTCTCCCCTGCCCGGAAAAAAACCCTCACCAGCCCCAGCCCACGGGGAAGGCTGGGTGTGCTCCTTGTTTACCATCTTCCTTGCCCCAAATTGAACTCACTACACATTGATTTGGAAAAGAGAAACCTAGGGGTCTTGAGCTATGTTAATCAGAAACCACTCTGCTGACAGAAGCTCCAGGCTACGTCACCAATGCATCTCTTAAAGACTTCACTCAAACCCCTGTCACTGCAGCAGGTCCCTGGGGGCCCCTGGGAGGTGGAAAGGAAATCGGGCACCAGGACTCAGGACACTGGGTCCTGCAGCTCCAACTCTGACTGCAGGAGAAGGGGTCACTGGACTTCTATGAACCTGGGACCCACAAGCCTGTCTCAGGGGAGCAGGGGTGAGAGAGGAGGTAAGGGCTCCACCATGCCTGGGGAGAAATCTAAGGGGTGGAACGTGCACCTTGAGTGCTCAGTGTCACTGAGCCTTTTCCTTCACTCTCAGCAGCTCCTGGGCTCCCTGAAGAGGCTCGTTCACTGTGCCTGCTGACCGACACTGCCGGAGGAGAGCAAGACTATTTGCCCCAAACCATCTGCCCAGCAAGCCCAAGACAGGCACACATGTGCAGACACACACACACACCCTATCCCGTGCCAACCAGTGTTTCCCAATGGCCACGATTATCTTCCCTGAGGAATGCGGGCCTTGGTCACCCTGAGCCCGCCATCTGCAGGGAGAGGATGTGGTTTCCAGCCCAAAGAAGCTGTGCCTGTACAAGACTGTCACTCCTATGGGCTTGGCATTCGGAAGGTTTCTCTGCAACACCTCGGGCCCCATACATACCACACCCCACAGTCCCTGATCAGCTGCCATCCAGTGGAGGATGGAGCTCACCTTGACTCCTGACTTCAAACCTTGGGTCTGGGGCCTCCAGGATGGGAAGAGCCAACCAGTTTCCAGTCAAGGACCTCCTGAGGAGGGACAGCAGGACATGTAGGTACTGTCCAGCTCCTCACAGCAAACCCAGGGTCTGTCTAAGGATGTCAGAGCTGGGAGGTAACACAAAGGGCAAGCCCAACCCTTGCTTCCCAGTCAGAGAAACAGAGCCCAGGAAAAGGGAGAGGTCCACTGAAGTCCCACAGCAGGTTAGCAGCAAAACGGGGTACAAAACTACTGTCCTCAGCTCTTTCACTGCCCTCTTCTCCAGCCCCATCCTCACCCCAAGAACGGTCAGTTTGAGCCCCCCTTCTTTTCCCTCCCTCCTTTTAGCAGGAGGCTGAGCAGACCAGGGACCTGGGCTTGCAGCCCCAGACATAAGTGATGGACACATCAGAGTAAGGATTTAGTTCTTAGGAACCTCTTCTCAGTCAGGGCATATTACTGAGCACCCCCACAGTACTCCTCACAGCTGACTGGGCCTAGACTGTCTGAGCTGGGAGTGGGCAGGCCCTCAGAGGAAGGGAGGGCACCGTGTGAGCACATGTACGTGAGTATGAGTGCAGGGGGTGGGAGGGACGGGAGAATGAGTGTGCAAGGGAAGCTAATGGGAGGGGGAAAGGGTAGGGCAGGGCAATGCCCACTGTAGCTCCCACCTGCCCCCTCTGGGGGCACAGGGCAGCTTCCTGGACTGCCGGGATCTGAGCTGAACTTGCTCAGAGGGTGGCTCTTTCCCTCCTTGGTCAGGCTGAGCTGCCCCGAGGGAGGGGCTCGCCCCAAGAGAGCTGACTTGCTTCTTTCCCTGGTCAGGGAGCAGGAGAAAGCCAGAGGCAGAGAAGAAGCTGTAAGTGACTTCCTGTGGGGCAGCCAGAGCAGAGGTTCTCACACTGCCTGGGTTTCTAAGGAGGAAGAACAGCGGGGGCGCCAAGCACACAAGAACACAGGACGGGTTTTGCAAACAGGCAGGAAGTTTTCCTGGAGCAAAACCCGTCAAAACAGAATTCTTTCACTGGGTAATATTTTCCTCCCTGCCCCTGTCACCCATGCTCAAACAGGTCTGTTGTTGTTTTCATAATCTGGGAGAGGAAACTGACCCCCTTTCAGCAAAGACCTCAGGCGCCAAACCAAACCGCTCAACAGATACTCCCAGCTGGCTTCCCGTTCTGAGCCGACGAGGCACGATGGAAAGTTTGGAGTGGAGATTCACTTCATGCTCCCACGTGGTGTGTGCCAGCCCAGCCACACTTGCTCTAGCTTCCTCAAACACTGGGCTGGGCGGAGAAAGAGCAGTGGTCTCTTGTCCTGGACATGTGTGATGTGTGGGGTGGCAATTAGCATTCACTGGGCACCTGGTGTGGGCCAGGCACTTTGCATTTATGACCTAATTTAATCTTTACAACGACCTTCTGAGATACTAATGGTATGCCCAGTTACACACGAGAAAACAGGCTCAAAGAAACTGAGTAATTTGCCCAAGGTCACACAGGTAGTAAGGGGCAGGTTTGAGATTTGAACATAGATCTGAGTCTGAAGCTCTTTCCATCCCACTCCATAGCCTCCCTGAATCATCTTTGGAACAGAAATCTCCCAGCCAAGTTCAGGTTGTACAGTGAGTCTTGACGGCCTAGAATGGAATGCCAGGGGCTGCGCCTGACTGCACATGCTCACGTGCCCCCTGATGGCTGCCAGCTCAGCTGCCAGATGGGCTGCATCCAAACCAGGCATCCATGCTACCCAGAGCAGTGGGACGCAGGGCAAGTGGTGGGGGAGTCCAGGGCCCCTTGGGCATGCACTCACCTTCCTGCAGCTTCACACTCTGGAGGTAGAGGGGGTTCCTCAGGACATTGCAGCGGCCTGGCTCATCCTCCTTGGTGAAGAGCAGCAGATCCGAATACGCAAATAGAGTCACCTGTATCAGAAGAGGGCAAACAGAACTGGCTGCCCCGCTGTCCCAGAGGCCAGGAGCCACAACCAATCCTGGAGGTCCAGGTAAGGAGTCCTAATTATCCCAGCTGAACCAGAAGCACTCAGTGTGGCCTCAGACAAGATCAAGTACCTCACATGCAGTTGAAGCCGCCCCTTAGCCCTACAGTTTTCTATACACACACTCGTTATCATAGTAGTAAAAACAAACAGAACAGAAAATGACACTCACCATCCATGACCAATGGCCCACATGCCGCTCCACAGCCTGACACCCCCACAGCCCACCTTCTGACCAAACACCCCTGGAATCTCCAGCCCAGCACCCTTGGCTTGAAGCCACTCTTGAGCTGCAGAACATTGCTTGTATTCTCCTCTAAATGTCTGGCTGAAAGAGCACTGGACTTCGAGTCAGAAGTCATGAGGCTCCTACCCTACTAATTAGCCATGAAAACTTGTTAAGCTCTGAACCCCTCAGCCTAAGTTTGCTCATCTGTACAGACAGGAAAGAGTCCCTACTCGGCTCCCTCACAGGCTTCTTTCACAAGCTCTGTATAGACTGAATTGAAGCATCTTGCAGTGTGAGTTATTATTACCAAATCCCTTGTGGATCATTTTAACTGCATTAATGCACAATCAGTTCAAGAAAAAGCCAGTTTCATATGCTCCAATACAGACATGTACAGAACTTTTATCTCTTTTATGTACTAGCTGCTCCAAAAATAAAGGAGTAAGCTATTTTTAGACATTATAGGTAAACCAACTGGCATGCTCAGCATATTTTTATGCTAAAAAAAATCCACTGATCCCCTAATGCCACTAAAGACTACACTGTTCTTTGTTTTGTAAATCCTGCAGTGGCCTTTAAGTTAAAGGCGATAAAATCCCATTTTGGATTCTCTGAAGAAAACAAAATATTATTAATTATGTAAACTTCCCTCAGAGGTGTTAAAACCTGACATCTCATCTCTTTTGAAGTAAGAAACATCAACCAGGGACCTCAGTGTATGTGTGTTGGGTGGTTGCTGAAGTTTAAAAAGTCAACAGGTTGACATTTAGCTATCAGACCATTAAAGATTACCTAACAACCCCACCTCTGAGATTCTGTACTACAGAAATAATTACAAGGATATATAAATGTGAACCTATATGGTTCTCAGAAGCATTTGTGTAATTTAAAAAAAAAAGAATATAAATACCCATCAAGAAAAGATGGATAAAGTTAAATTATTCTACCTTCACATGGTGGAATTTTACACAACCATTAAAAGAATAAAATAGAGCTATGTGGGCACAAAGAGAAATCTGTCCATCACAAGTCAAAAGAGTGCAATGTGCAAAAATACCTAGAGTATAATCCAATTTTATAAAATAAAATTGTAAATCTGTTTATATTTACACATTTTTTTAATGTCTGAGTTATTCATCATACTCTTCACTCCAGGGAATGGAATTTCACTTCATACATTTCTGTATAATATGCATTATATTGCAATAATACTCAACTTTTGTGATTTAAAAATATATGTGTTTTTCAAAGGACTTCTTGGCCTCTCCAGCATAGCACAAACACAGAGGGAATCTGAGCCACAGAGACAATGGCAGTTGGGGCAGGGGGGTCCTTGAGCAGTAGGTGTTCAGGGGCTCTGGCTTCTCCAATGGGACCACACTCGAGGGCTCAGGAACCCTGGGCTAGAAGGGATCCTGGAGGTGACTCTCTCCAGTTCCCTTCCCACCACAGCCCTGACCCAGCACAGCCCAACAGAAGCCTCTGTTTGTTGAGTGTTTACTTTCTGCTCAGTGGACCCTCATTTATAAATAACATAACTACCCTCATTTAGAGATGAGGACTCTGCAGTTCAGGGGAGTTAAGTAACCTGTCCAAGGTCACACAGCCAGAGACCATTGCCCAGGTCTGGCTGATCCCCAAACTCTCACTATACAGAGAGGCAGCAATATGCCTACAGCTACCCTGCCCCTGAATGTGATAGAATCCAAGGAGGGACCAATGAAGAGGAGCAAAGGAGACCCAAAAATGAAGTTCAGGGAGGGGAAGAAAATGACCTGAGAGCTAAGAAAGAATTGAGGAGTTGGTTGTCTGAAAAGAGGACTTCAAAGTCCAAGTGGTAGAAAGAAGACTCAAAACCAGCCGAACAGAAGGCAAACCCTCATGATACCCCGACCCAGTCCAGGGAAATCTGGCAGTCACCTCGAGACCCACAGGGAAGCTGGTCTGCCAGGAGCCCAAAAAAGTAAAAAAAAATGTCCCAGGCCCAGAAAGAGCTGGATGGACAGCAAGTGGGGAAGCGCCATGGGCAAGGTGGGAAAAGCCTCAGGCAGCTGCTCTGGCCCCAGTTCCCAGAACTGAGAATGTGGTCTAGACAGGAAGTAATTAAGGCATGAATGAAGAATTTCCCCAAAGATTGGGTCAGGGAAAGGACAGAGCTGGCACACAGCTGGAGGCAGGGCTGAGGGGCAAATGTGCCAGGGGAAGGCAGGCAGGGGGGCCTCTTTCTCATCTCACCAGCATCCTGCTGGCCTCGCTTCAGCAGAAGCCACAGTGGCCCACAGTGGAGTGATGCCCATCTCCACAGCCCAGTTACCTGCTCTGCTGCCTTCCACAAGAGGCCACGGGGGCCACCAGGTGTCTTCCCCATACTTGCTCCAAGGCATATCTGTTTTCCCAAAGGGTCAGGCTTGAGGGATCATTCGGTGCTTGGTTAGGAAATCCGTGCAATTTGGTGGGTCGCTTCTTCCAAGTAGCCCTAAGGGAACTTCCTCCAGGAACCTGGCCTAAGGACCCGCTGGCAGAAAAGACCTTGTTGCCTTTGTTAATAGTAAACTTAATGAGTCAGTGTGAAAAGTGAGGGTGTGTCTGTCTTGTGCCTCACAGTACCCTGAACCTCTAGCACAGGGCCTGGCTACATTGTAGATGCTCAGTAGCTATTGTTCGAATGTACAAATGAGGCTACTCCATAATGCGGATTTGATGTCCAGGCACATTCATCAGGTCCGTGACTTGTGGGAGGGGGTACGATGAGGGCAGTTCCCAGGGCGGGACTGGATCAGCCCACAGACATTAGCAAACTGGAGCATGCTCAGAGAAGAGACGAGACAGAACCAAGGGGAGCACTCCAGCAAGAGCTCCTTCTGAGCATAAAGGAGAACCTTTTACAGTTTAGCACTCTCCAGTAATAAAACCAATGCCCAGAGGAGCTGCCTTTACAGACTCAGAACTGGCTGGAAAACCATCAGTGGGAAAGTTAAAGGGAAACAATCAGAATGGATGACACCTGGGGGCCCAACCAACACTGCAATTCTACAAGCTTATCCAAGCCCCTCTTGAATTGGCTCATATTTTTGGCCTGAATAACATGATAGACAAGATCCACATATTCGCTTGCTAGCACACTTGAAGAAAAAGAAATATTAATCTTATTTGTTTTCAAATCATTTCTCTCAATCTTTAAAAGGGGTCTCATAGTTCTAAGCTCCAAAGATCCACTAGACAAGGATTTTTGGACAGACTATAACTGTAATTGGGATATGGTTTCAGCTTATATTTACCAGTTTGTTTTTAAGCAAACATACCAGAGGCAGCATGGGATGATGGAAGGCACCGATGAGCCAGAGATCCGAGTGCTAATCCTGGCTCCATCCCTGATGAGCCTGAGACCCTGGTTAATCTCACTGGGGTCTCAATTCCCTCCCCTACAGAGTGGAGACAATTGTGCCTCTCATAGGGGTGCCACAAGAGCTAACTGGGATCTAGTATGTAAAATGCATGCACAGAGAGGATACACAGTAAGTGCTCAATGTCTGCAGGCTTAATAGTGAGCAAACAAAAGAGAAAATTTAGACAAATGTATATATTACAGGGTGGCTGCCATTTCTAACTGCCTTCTTCTGAGTCTTGGATATTTACAGCCACACTGGACTTCATTTTCTTTTTTTTTAATTGAGGTATAATGGCATATAATATTATATAGTTTCAGTCATATAATACTATATGTATATTATGAAATGCTCACCTTGACAAATGCAGTTACTTGTCACCATACAAAGGTATCACAATATTATTGACTATATTCCCTATGCTGCACTTTTCATCCCCATGATTTATTTGTTTTATAATTGGAAGTTTGTATCTCTTAATCCTCCTCACCTATTTCATCTATCTCCCACCCCAGCAACACCAGTTTGTTCTCTATATTTATGAGTCTGTTTCTGGATTTTCAGTGGGGGAGGGGGATTTTGTTTTTTTGTTTGTTTTGTTTTTTAGATTCCATATATAAGTGAAATCATATGGCATTTGTCTTTGTCTGATTTATTTCATTTAGCATAATACCCTCTAAGTCCATCCATATTGTCATGAATGACAAGATTTCATTCCTTTTTATGGCTGAATAATATTCCATTCTGTGTGTGTGTGTGTGTGTGTGTGTGTGCGCGCGCGCACGCGCCACATCTTCTTTATCTATTCACTTATCAGTGGGCACTTAGGTTTCTTCCATATCTTGACTGTTGTAAATAATCCTGCAATAAACATAGGGGTGCATATATCTTTTTGGATTAGTGTTTTCATTTTCTTTGGGACAAAGGAGACCCAAAAATGAAGTTCAGGGAGGGGAAGAAAATGACCTGAGAGCTAAGAAAGAATTGAGGAGTTGGTTGTCTGAAAAGAGGACTTCAAAGTCCAAGTGGTAGAAAGAAGACTCAAAACCAGCCGAACAGAAGGCAAACCCTCATGATACCCCGACCCAGTCCAGGGAAATCTGGCAGTCACCTCGAGACCCACAGGGAAGCTGGTCTGCCAGGAGCCCAAAAAAGTAAAAAAAAATGTCCCAGGCCCAGAAAGAGCTGGATGGACAGCAAGTGGGGAAGCGCCATGGGCAAGGTGGGAAAAGCCTCAGGCAGCTGCTCTGGCCCCAGTTCCCAGAACTGAGAATGTGGTCTAGACAGGAAGTAATTAAGGCATGAATGAAGAATTTCCCCAAAGATTGGGTCAGGGAAAGGACAGAGCTGGCACACAGCTGGAGGCAGGGCTGAGGGGCAAATGTGCCAGGGGAAGGCAGGCAGGGGGGCCTCTTTCTCATCTCACCAGCATCCTGCTGGCCTCGCTTCAGCAGAAGCCACAGTGGCCCACAGTGGAGTGATGCCCATCTCCACAGCCCAGTTACCTGCTCTGCTGCCTTCCACAAGAGGCCACGGGGGCCACCAGGTGTCTTCCCCATACTTGCTCCAAGGCATATCTGTTTTCCCAAAGGGTCAGGCTTGAGGGATCATTCGGTGCTTGGTTAGGAAATCCGTGCAATTTGGTGGGTCGCTTCTTCCAAGTAGCCCTAAGGGAACTTCCTCCAGGAACCTGGCCTAAGGACCCGCTGGCAGAAAAGACCTTGTTGCCTTTGTTAATAGTAAACTTAATGAGTCAGTGTGAAAAGTGAGGGTGTGTCTGTCTTGTGCCTCACAGTACCCTGAACCTCTAGCACAGGGCCTGGCTACATTGTAGATGCTCAGTAGCTATTGTTCGAATGTACAAATGAGGCTACTCCATAATGCGGATTTGATGTCCAGGCACATTCATCAGGTCCGTGACTTGTGGGAGGGGGTACGATGAGGGCAGTTCCCAGGGCGGGACTGGATCAGCCCACAGACATTAGCAAACTGGAGCATGCTCAGAGAAGAGACGAGACAGAACCAAGGGGAGCACTCCAGCAAGAGCTCCTTCTGAGCATAAAGGAGAACCTTTTACAGTTTAGCACTCTCCAGTAATAAAACCAATGCCCAGAGGAGCTGCCTTTACAGACTCAGAACTGGCTGGAAAACCATCAGTGGGAAAGTTAAAGGGAAACAATCAGAATGGATGACACCTGGGGGCCCAACCAACACTGCAATTCTACAAGCTTATCCAAGCCCCTCTTGAATTGGCTCATATTTTTGGCCTGAATAACATGATAGACAAGATCCACATATTCGCTTGCTAGCACACTTGAAGAAAAAGAAATATTAATCTTATTTGTTTTCAAATCATTTCTCTCAATCTTTAAAAGGGGTCTCATAGTTCTAAGCTCCAAAGATCCACTAGACAAGGATTTTTGGACAGACTATAACTGTAATTGGGATATGGTTTCAGCTTATATTTACCAGTTTGTTTTTAAGCAAACATACCAGAGGCAGCATGGGATGATGGAAGGCACCGATGAGCCAGAGATCCGAGTGCTAATCCTGGCTCCATCCCTGATGAGCCTGAGACCCTGGTTAATCTCACTGGGGTCTCAATTCCCTCCCCTACAGAGTGGAGACAATTGTGCCTCTCATAGGGGTGCCACAAGAGCTAACTGGGATCTAGTATGTAAAATGCATGCACAGAGAGGATACACAGTAAGTGCTCAATGTCTGCAGGCTTAATAGTGAGCAAACAAAAGAGAAAATTTAGACAAATGTATATATTACAGGGTGGCTGCCATTTCTAACTGCCTTCTTCTGAGTCTTGGATATTTACAGCCACACTGGACTTCATTTTCTTTTTTTTTAATTGAGGTATAATGGCATATAATATTATATAGTTTCAGTCATATAATACTATATGTATATTATGAAATGCTCACCTTGACAAATGCAGTTACTTGTCACCATACAAAGGTATCACAATATTATTGACTATATTCCCTATGCTGCACTTTTCATCCCCATGATTTATTTGTTTTATAATTGGAAGTTTGTATCTCTTAATCCTCCTCACCTATTTCATCTATCTCCCACCCCAGCAACACCAGTTTGTTCTCTATATTTATGAGTCTGTTTCTGGATTTTCAGTGGGGGAGGGGGATTTTGTTTTTTTGTTTGTTTTGTTTTTTAGATTCCATATATAAGTGAAATCATATGGCATTTGTCTTTGTCTGATTTATTTCATTTAGCATAATACCCTCTAAGTCCATCCATATTGTCATGAATGACAAGATTTCATTCCTTTTTATGGCTGAATAATATTCCATTCTGTGTGTGTGTGTGTGTGTGTGTGTGTGCGCGCGCGCACGCGCCACATCTTCTTTATCTATTCACTTATCAGTGGGCACTTAGGTTTCTTCCATATCTTGACTGTTGTAAATAATCCTGCAATAAACATAGGGGTGCATATATCTTTTTGGATTAGTGTTTTCATTTTCTTTGGGTAAATACCAAGAAGTGAAATTACTGGGTCATATGGTACTTCTATTTTTAATTTTTTGAGGAACCTACATACTGTTTTCCATAGTGGCTGTACCAGTACACATTCCCAACAGTGTAGGAGGGTTCCCTTTTCTCTACATCCTCACCAACACTCATTACTTCTAGTCTTTATGATACTAGCCATTCTGACTGGTATGAGGTGACATCTCACAGGCACACCTAACTTTCTTGACCCTTGGTCATTGGACTTAGCTCTACCACACAATCACCAAGCACAGATCCAAGTGACTTCTTGCTCCTAAAACTCAAATCCCCCTCAACAGATGAAGTTTTACTCCCACTGAGGCAATTCAGAAGATATTCCAAGATTCTTAGGAAAGTTCCCAAAGAGGAAGTCCAGAAATGTAGTGCGCAATGCCAGCATGATAGCAATAAGCATGCCATATCCCCAGGAAGCTCCCTTGAAAGAGACCATTCACTTGGAATGCATGAGCTCCCGGTGTGCTTGCTTGAAAACAAAACAAAACAAAAGCAGCCTCCTGCTGTAGCCACAATTATACATAATGTCTCAGAATGCTGAGGCTGAAAGTGCCCTTAAAGTTCAGCCAGGCTCAGCTACTCAAATATACACACCCACTGTTCAGATAAGAAGACTGAGGAAGGAGGAAGAAGTCACAAGTAAGTCAGCACCAGAGTGGGAGGTGGCTATATGCTTCCTGCCTCCACGTTCCTATCCATCCACTACCCCAAGCTGCCACTCAACTCAGTAAGCCATGCTGCCAGGGTAAGTCAGGGCCTAATCTGCAGTGAGTCCTCCACCCTCTCTTCAAGCCCCCCAGGCAGTCCAGTCAGATCCCAGGAACTCCAACTTCTATGCCCAAGTAGACTTAAGCTCACAGGACTGAACTGGAACCTGGCCAGCTCTGGGGGGCAAGGGAAGCAGGAGGGGGCGTGTGGTGAGGGAAATTCCCCCATTTAGAGATAGCAGAGACCAGCTCCCAGGAAGAAGGACATGATCTCCACATCCAGACCTCTGTTGGCAGAGCTAGAGCCCAGGAGAAGTCACAAACTTAACTGTCAGAGAGGATTTGGGGTTTGGGCTAGGATGGACCCAGAAAACCTGGGTAACTGATACCCCTCTAAAAATTCTCTTTGGCTAACAGAGTTAATCTTCTTACCAACAAAGTCATCCATCACCACTGAGGTGAGCTACCATCTCTTCTTCCGCTCCTTAGAGAAGTTGGGATAAACAATGGGATATCTTTAGGGGTTGGGAAACTTTCTAACTACAAAGATGGACTAAACAGCTTTGAGAGGTGGTGAGTTCCCTATCACTGAACATGTATAAGAAAAAGCCAGGTAGCCATTTAGTAAAGAGGGTGTGAAGCAGATAGACTTTTTAGTTTGTTTTCTACCCTGAGATTGTACAATCCTAAGACCCTCAGAAAGAGAGAACAGCTAGGGGCCTGGAGGCTAGCTGCTGAAGCCCACCAGGAAACCCCACCTGGGAAACATGTGGGAATCTTACCTCTGCAGCTTTGTTCCTCCCCTCATACAGCAGCAGCTCCTCTGATAACAAGAGGGTCCGGGCAGGGTTACAGAGGTCTAAAGGCTGAAAACAAAGTGGGCAGTTCAAAGGCGCCTGATGGAGATGGTGGGCGTGGGGGGAGGCAGCTTGTCAAAGCCAGCCACAGACAATCCTCTCCGAGCTTCTGAGAGAAGACGGCCAGCCCTCCCTCACCCCAAGAGCCCACACACCCCCACATACACAGATGGAAACAGAAAGACAGATTCTCTTGTCCTGGGCCAAACTACTGCTGCCACCTTCCCAACCAACCCCCACTGTGAGAGCCACACTTTCTGGCAGGAAGTCCAGCCACAATTCAGGCCTTTCCAGGCCTCCCCACCAGCTCTTCCACTACACTGGGCTCCTGGGCCCTTCCAGTCCCACTCCCCCATCTGTCCTGTTCATGCCTCACGGGAAAGTCCCTGCTGTCAGGCTCAGGCTCTTATCCTGAAAATCTTGTGCCAGGTTTGGTCACTTGCAGCCCTTCAAAGCCAGGCCAGTCCCTGCTCTATATTTATAACATGCTTGAATTAACTGACTCCTTCTCAGCCATCAGTTCCCAGGGACCAACTCTCACCCAAACCTCTCACTCCACCCCATCACCCTGCCCCTGCCCAGCCCAGCCCAGCCCAGCCCACAGAATGCTGGCTAAGCTGTAGATTATCCTCATGAATGTATATTTATAACATGGCTTCTAGGTGCCTGACACCAAGCAAGATACCAGAAGAAAGATAAACAACATTAATGACACACAGCAACCTGGATGAATCTTGCAAAGGAAGCAGGCACGAAAAGAGGCCAGACAAAACATGCTATTTAGGAAAGCGTACATGATGACAAAACAAAACAATAGCAAGGAGATGGTTATTTTAAAGTCAGACCAGTGGGTATGTCTGCTGGGAGTAGAGCATCACCATTAGGAAGAGAGAGGCATGGCCTCTGGAATAGGACTAACGGTCTATTTCTTTATCTTAGTGGAGATCTGCTTTATAATTATTTATTAAACTGCACACTTAAGTGTTATGTCATTTTTGGTTTACATATTTTATAATTTAAAAGTCTGTATAACTATAAAAAACTAGTTTTAAGTTTTGGTAAAAATTAAAAAACCACCCCTGTGGATGCCAAGACCTCTGTGGTTTACAACCTAAGAAAGAGACCAAGAGAAAGACAAAGGGCAGGCCTTGCCAATGAAGTTGTCTGGGAAGAGGCATGTCATTGGCCAGAAATAAGTTGCATCCTAACAGAGTGGAAATTCTAAGATCCCCTGGACAGGGACAGGCCCCAAATGGGATGCCAAAGAGACCAGAGAGGGAATGTCTGGTCAGAAATTAAGCCCTTGGGACTATGTCACCTCAATGTTGCTGACGAGAGGCTAAACCAATAGTCTTGCTGGAAAGCAATTTGTCAATACGTATAAAGAGCCTTTAAATTCTTTATGACCCATGACCCATTTCACTTCTAGGAATCTCTTCCAAGGAAAATAATCAGAGAGGCAATTTGGGCCCAAGGACTTTCACCACAGAGTTATTTATAACAGCAAAAGAAGTAGACATAAGTATCTGAACAGAGAACTGGTTAAACAAACATGGTTCAACCACACGATAGAAACCACTACAAAATAAAGGTTCAAAAAATATTTCATGATGTGGGAAATATTCATGCTGCAACTTGCATTTAAAAACAACAGGATATAAAATGGGTTTGGGTTTTTATTTTTTAATGTAGGTATGCACACAGAAAGACACATAAATGTTTATACTAGTTATATCTGGGAGATAGAAGAAATAAAGGTTTGGAAGTGGGAAGAAAAAGACGGAAGAAGAGAGAGAAACAGAAGGGAGACCTGAATGGATCTCAGACCACCAGCTAATCCTGACCAGACCTGTCTGCTGAGACCAAGGATACCAGACAAGATGCCAGATCTCAGGCTCTCCCTCGGTCATTTCCAAATAACAAACCAAGAGAAGCCAGGAAGCAGGTGCCTCAGTAAACAGGCCCTGAGACAACACAGAAAGCAACTGCAGAGTGCCTGCCCTGTCCCCAGAGAAAAGGGAATTCAGGGGGACAGGGAGGCACCCCCCTGTTGCTCAGCATCCCTATCCCCCTGTCCTATTCCTGCTCCTGGGAATCTCTGCTCCCTAGTAGAATCCCCAGAAGCCTGAGCACCTGAAGCTATTTATTTGTCTTTACCCCAAAGCGGACCCTCAGTCTGCAACGAGGCACCATCCCTGGGTCCTGGGGTAAAGGACCCTCCTTTGTCCTCATCTCCTGCAGAAGACCTCAGGGCCAGCCACCGGCTCACCTGAACGAAGACGGGGAACACCAGGACTTTGGGGGCCAAGGTGACATATGTGCCATAACTTGAGTGTGAGGCATGCGGCCTCAGGACCGAGCAGTTCTGATAGTTCCCATGGCCTTTCATGGTCTGCACCGTCTTCATCAGCCGGGACTTCTTCCCCAGGCCCGTGGAGGACTTCCCTTTACTGGGATTCCCTGACTCTGTGGAACAGAGATGGGGACAGTGAGGCATTTCCATCACCCCTGCAAAAGCATCCCTATCACCCCTGCAAAAGCATCCCCTCTGCAGAAACAGGGAGCAACACTCAGTCAACCTCTATTCACTGAGCATCTGCTATGTGCCAGGCCTGCACAGTGTGCTGAGAATATAGGGAGGCTCAGAAGAGTCTTTGGCCTTGAGGAATTCCCTCACACTCTAGTGAGAAATACACATAAACCAGGAACTTCAGGGCTCAGATGGAGCTGGAAAACATCAGCTATGATGGAAGCAGCAGTTCCTGTCTAGTAACCCGGGGCCTGAATCTGACCTACCAGTTTGACCTTGTGCTTTTAAAAATCAGGAGATGTCTAATATCTGAGAAACCAGAAAATCTAACCTCACTGGGCCCACAGTCCCACACAGAACTATCAATCAGTTGGACTGGCCCATGTGACCAAACACATGCTTTCCCCCAGCCACTGTCCCCACAGCTCCCTGTGCATGCCTAACTCAGCTTGCCTATTCTATCGTCTCCCAAGTCCCATGGACAATGGGACTGGAGATCCAGTCTCTGCAGTGGTATCAGAGACAGTGTGCTTTCCCAAGCTCCACCAGCCTGAGCATCTGAAAAATCAGAGTCCACCCTTTACCAGCCAAGCGAGCCAGAGTGGCTGGCTCCCATGAGTCAGGCTAGAATAAGGAGTGGAACCTGTTGGGCTCAGGAAAGAGCACCAGCTCTGAAGCCAGATGGCTGTGCCCATATCCCACTCCTCTGCCTACTAGTTTAGTACACCAGCTCTGAAGCCAGATGGCTGTGCCCATATCCCACTCCTCTGCCTACTAGTTTAGTGACCTTTGGCAACTTACTTCCTCCCTCAGAGTCTTGGTTTCCACAACAGCCAGAAAAGGACCAAGCTCACTGGGTTGCCGTAGGATTAAATGATACGTCCCAAGTAAAGCCCCTAGGACAGGACAGTGCCTGGAATCTGGTAAGTGCACAACAAAAGTTAGTTGCTAATTTATCATGGTTCTTGTTGTGATTCCTCCACATGGAAAAGCTAGTTAATCAGGTGCCCCAGGGACTGTGGGAATCCTGGGTTTCACAGAAGCCAGGAAGCACTCCTAACTTGGCCACCAACTCACAAATGATTCTAATCAGAAAAAGGAGAAACTCTCCCAGGGAAGAGAGCAGAAGCTTGCAACAGCAGGGGCTCCTCTTCAAGGCGACAAGACTGGACACATACCCTCTCACTGAACAAGGGGTGGGCACACAGGTCTCTGTTATGTCCGGACCAAAGAGCAGAGATGCAAGCTCCAAAATAGCTAAAAAGTCAGGGCTTCTTGGACACAAGCGGGCAGGAGGCAAACTCCAGAGCATTCAGGCTCCACATGCACCTGAGCTCCCCGGCCAAGGGGTTCTTGCTGCCAGGGCAACTGACCAGCCCTCCCTGACCTGGATGTCCAGCCCATGTCCCAGGGCTTAGATCTCCTTCCACCACCCCCAGTCCTGGCAGCCAGGGGCTGAACAGGTGACCTGACCCCAGCTACATCTCAGGGAAGCTCCCCACCAACGCAAGGTCTGCAGCTTCAGAGGAAAAACTCAGCTCAGAAGATTTCACACTTACTTCCTCCGCCTACCCCATGCCCCCTCCCCTCAAGTGGGGTGAGAAAAACAAGTTGACTCCCCACCACAAGTGACCACCGGTCACAGTGTATCTTGGGGCCACACTCAAACCATAATAACTTAAACCACTTCCTGCCTCTTCAGAGTCACTTAGAGAAGACCAGGGGGGCAGGTGAGTCAGGGGACAGATGCCTGGAAGTAGTTACACAGCTACTTGCCTTGTCTGGCCATGAACAACAGCCCTAGGGGGGTCTGTGCTGCCAGGCCCTGGCCCCTTTGCTCAAAGAACCCCCCTGGGTCCCACCATCTGCACTGGATTTGAGTTGAACAAGACACCTGAACTTGAGCACTGGCTTCCCGGGACTGGCTGTGTGACCTGAAAAAGCCCTTCCCCCTCTGAGCCAGTTTTCTCCACTGCAAAGTGCAGATGATACAGGATCAGGGCCTCGCCTGCCCCAGGGCTGGAGGGGTGCTCACACAAGAGACCTGATGGGAAAGGGCTTAGTGGGTGGTCTGGAGTGTGAGTACACACGGGATTATTACAAACCTATGCCAACAAATAACCCACCTGTCAGGGCTGGCATTAGGACAGGGCTGCCGGGCCTCCAGCCACACTGTGGATGGCGTCACAGGGTCAGCCTGGAACTAGACAGTCTAATTTAACGCAAACAAGCCTAGACCAGAGGGGGCAGACCACATGGGACTGACAAGCAGGGGACTAAGGCAAAACAGACTAAAGTTAAAGAAGAGTACTATTTGCTGATGCCAAAATCTCTGCCTCCAACCCCCAGCCTCAGACTTTTAAAAGCACCCATTCCCTCCCATCCCCAGCCTCTCTGCCCAGGGCTGTCACAGAATCTTCACCTTGGGCCTACAAAGTCATAAAGAAGCCACTCTGCCTTCAGGTGGGAAAGGCCTGCTCAGCCTCATTTTATAGAAGAGGCCACTGAGGCCTCAAGTGGTTGAGTGGCGTGCCCATGGTCATTCAGCCAGTTAGTGGTACAAGCAGGATCAGCCAAACCCACGTGGCAATCATGCCAAGTGCCCTGTCTCCACGCAGCCATGGTAAAGTGTGGCAAGTCAGCATGGCTCACCAAACTGATCTTCTGAAGTATCTTATTTTTTTAAAAAAAACAGTCTTGGTTGCAATCCGGCCACTAAGCTCTGTAAGGCAAGATCCTTGACTTCCCACCTGCTACCTCTTCTACCCTCTGGTCCAAACCCCTCCCTCACCCCTTTTCTCTGTAACACCTGCTTCACTGAGCAAACACAGTAATTACTCAGCTTTGCTCCAGCTTCTGAACAAGCCCTGGCAGCCATTCCACCTGGCAGTGGAGAGTCTGAGGCCAGGCTGCCTACACAGGACAGGAGACAATGTGGAGGGCACCAGTGGCCTGAGGGAACGTGCCAACCACAGGTGGCAAGTGCCCCAGGACCCAGAAGTGCACCAGAGCCTATTCAACTCAGGATGGCTCAACCCTCCCTCCCAAAAGGACGCCAGGCTGCCCAGCCAAGGGAGGAGACAGAAGTCGACACCCTGGGAGAGCCTTAGCCTCTGGAGACCCCCATGTGTGGTTAAGGGAAGCTTTGTCACCTGAATTCCACCCCTTCGTCTGCAACCCCAGGACTGAGCTGTGAACAATTGATATCTGGTAAAGAGCAAAGATGTCCTTGGAAACCAAAATAATTATAATCATGAAGAATAGGCAAAGCAAGGTCAAGTTCTTAACACAAAGCTTTCAAAAAGTTACCATTGTTATTAACACTATCATCATTTCCTTACTTTTCCCTCTCCCACAGCTCAGATGACTGTGCCCTTCTGGGTGCACTAAGTACTGTATTCTCAAAGGGAAATCAGAAAGTGGACACAGTTTGGGAGGACACCAAGAGGCATCTCTTGTGTGGAGAAGGAATCACTCCCCAACCACTAGCCCAGTGCAGGCAACATACCTCTCCAGCTCCCCTATTCCATCCATGACCAGCCTTTGGACCCTTCAAGACAGCTAGAGTCAGCCATTCTCCTTCAGTCACTTAACTGAAATTCTACTGAGTCCCTTCTCTGGGTCTGGCATTGGACACACAGAAATGAGCCAGCCCAGGCCCTCCCCTTAATGAAGTCACCATTTAGCAATAACATCTCCATTTCAACCTAATGCACCAACTAAAAGCTTTTTAAAAACTCAGTGTTGAATCACTTTCAGACTCCTCTGCAGAATACAGATTCATTTCTGACAGACCAGTCCCAGCCACCCAAACATCTCAGCCTGGAGAGAATGAAGATGCCTTCTATCGGCAGCTCTGAGCCTGGAAGAAGCCCCTTTTACCCCCAAAGCCACTGGCATTCTTCCAAGTACCTGCTCTAAACAAGCATCATCTTCACACTCTGACAGAGGGGGACAGCAAGGAAGCAAGTCTGCCTGTGGCTGCGAGAAAGACAATCTCAAGGTCAAAGGGCATTCTGTAGGCACCAGAGGAAGGGCTCAAGCACAATCAAGGCAGGCATCACGGACCACCAGGCAAGGCTGGTCTCCACCTTCCAGATAGGCGCATAGAGGGCCTGAAGGAATGCCCAGCCAGCTCCAGCATCAAGACTAACAGCTCAGGCTTCCTAGGAGAAGGAATTGGTTTTGAGCTCAGCTTCTCTCCCTGGCCCTTAAAAAATCAGGCCAGGATTTGAAGGCCAAAGGAGAAGAATCCATTCAAGCAGCAGAGTGGTCTGTGCACTTCAAAGATAACTACCCTCTGTGCAGCATCTCTCAGTGTACAGGCTACTACTCACAACTGTTATCTCCTTCGATCCTCCCAACAACTTTCTGAGGTAGGAATTATCAGCCCCATTTTAGAGATGAAGAAACTGAGGCTCAATGAAAATACAGCAGAGAGAATATAGTTCATAATACTGCAAATCTTGCTATGTTTTCAGATAATAACTACACTTATTTAATAATGTAGATAACTGTCAATCACTCCGTTGTACACTTGAAACCAATATAATTTATATATTAACTATACTTTTATTTTTAAAGGAGAAAAAAAAAGAAACTGAGGCTCAGTGAGGGAACGTGGGTTGTTCAGAGTTAAATAGCTCCAATTTCAGACCTCCTAGCTCCAAATGCCATGCCTCGCTTCTGTGCAGGCCCGATCATATTGCCTACAGCACCTAACATACATTGGTTGCATGGTAAAATTGGATGAATCTCAGTTGAATGCCTGGGTTCTGAACACTGTTTCTTACACTGCTCTGTGAATATCCCCTCTCTTCTTTCTTAGTTCAGGCCCCAAGTTAGAAAGACACTGGTTCAGTGAGGGAGAAAAGGTACCAAGAGGAAAGAGACTGTCAGTATGCTGGGGAATCCTGCCCTGTTAGGAAGACCTCTGAACTCAGAGGAGGCTGGGCCTGGCGTCCCCATGACCTGGGGCTTGGAGGGCACAGCAGCCGACAGACTCACCTTCGGGGATGGCATCCTCCTGGTACACAGGCCGCAGCAGCTGCAAGGGAAAGACAGGAGACCCACCTCAGCCTCGAGAACAGGGCAGGACAAGCAGGCAGCTGCTCACCCCCAGCCTGAGGATAGGAGGGGGCACCTCAGGGCATAAGGGAAACACACAAGCTGGGGACAACATGGAGGGACTGCAGACTCCAGAATCCTCCTGGCTGTTAGAACTGAATGAGACTTTAGCTTTCAAGTCTAACTCCCTAACCAAGTCCCTAGCATCCTTGATGGCAGCTTGCTCCAAGTTGCATTCCATGGAACACTGGTACTGTGGGACAAAAACAACACTACCACAAAGCGTTGGTCATCAGGGGAGTTTGGGAATGCTGGGCTAAACAAGGTTAAACCACCCCCTTTACCACAGGATGCCCTCAGAGTCCCAGAGAGGCTAATATACATTGGGAATATCCCAGAAGAGGAAGAAAGTTCAGAATATTTGTTAAACTTAGTTAACCTCAAATCACTTTATTCCCAGAGCATCTCATGGGACTAATGTTTTGGGGCATCCACTCCATTATCCCACCAGATCACCATGCAGTGTCCGCTTTCACACCTCCTATGGCAGGGACTCACCGCCTGCCATGGCAGCCCATTCCACTGTAGAAAAGCACAGACTGGCAGAAAGCTCTTCCTTCTTTTGAGGCAAAATCTTTCACTCTGCAACATTGCATGGTCCTGGATCTGTCCTGAGACCGCAAAGACCCATCTGCTCTCCCTACCCAGGACAGCCCTGCAGCTAACACATACCCCACCTCCTGCCTCAACACCCCTAGCTTCTTGCAGGTTCTTCCCAACACAATTTTGAGTCTTCGCTTCTTCCTGGCCTCGCACAGGGACCCATGCCCTTCACCTTCCCCAGACCAGCTGTTCATACCTGGCTCCCAGGGTTCAGTGGGGCCAGGATGATGTAGTTGGGGTCGGTGGGGGCAGTGGCACGGGACAGTGCAGGCAGGGTATGCTGGCCCCCATGCTTGGCCACCTCGGTGTAGCGTTCCCAGCCGCCAAGCAGCAGCCCATCTGAGCTGTCACACACCAGGTGGCAACTGTGGCGCTGCTCGGGCCGGGCCTGGGCTCCATGGGTGCAATTCTTCTCCCGCTTGTTGGGGGGTGACTGGAGGTCATGTGTCGACTTGCAGGAGGCCCTCCGCAGGACTCCACCGTCTGGCCCCGGCTTGACCTGGGGGACCATGCGCCACACAAGCAGGATAATCTCGCTGGGGCAGCTCCTAAAAGTTGGGGGGTCACACAGAGAAGTTGAGTCTCCGGGAGACCAAAAGACCAAAGTCAGCCAGGGTAGGGGCCTTCAGAGACAGAGAGGAAGTGTTAGCAGGAAGGGAGATAGGAGGCCATCTAAAGCAGAAACAAAAAAGGGGTCTCTTAGGTCAACTCTAATTGATTGGCAGTGGCTGAGAAGGACACTGAGGCCAAGGCCAGGTTAAACCAAAGTACAGTCGCAGTGAGATCTGTCGTGGGCAAGGTATAAACAAGGAGAAGCAAGCAAGCCACCCACATGCAACCCCTCATCCAGTCATTCTAGAACTTAAAGTAGGCCATGAGGCTTTTACCCCAGCATGTCAAAATTTAGGAGACTTGAAATTTTTTAAAACAATTTTTAATTATACAACTGAAACATTTGCAACATCTACTCATCCCTTAAAAAAAAAAAACCAAGAGGTTTAGCTCTGAGGTAGCAGAAGTAATTAGCTAAAGTGGAAAGGGACCCCCTGGAGCTGCGTCATGAACCAGTGTCAGTTTGAGAGCCTCTTCCCTGCTGTTTGCTCTGGGATCTAAAATTGCTGTGAGCCTGAACCTTCCATTTTCAGGCTGAGAAACGGATTCCCTGAGGGGCAAAGTGAATTGCTCACAGCTGGGTGAAGGAGGGAAGGGCAAGGCTACATGCCAAGGGCTGAGTGGGGAGGTGTGCCATCAGCCTGAGGCCCCAGGCCGCCCGCTGCCCCTGTCACCGGATCTCATGTGCCAGCTCCACGCATTTCCAGTGCTCCACAGGCCGCTCGTTCAGCTGCAGCACCGTGTCCAGCTGCTGCAGCCCTGCCCGCTCTGCCGGGCCACCTGCAGGGACAAAGAAAAGCCATTTAAGAGCTCCTGAAGCTCACGACCCCCTCGAAGGACCTGAAGTGACCTCAGACAAGGACTGCCCCTCTCTCTTCCTTCCTCTGGGAAATGAAGGGCTAACCTTGGTGGCTTTTGGGGGCCTGGAAGGGAGGCACACATTTGCCATACCTCCTTCTTACCTGCTCACCCATTGCTGGCTCACCTCTCTGCTCTCTACCCTTCCAGCCAGGTACCATCCCTCTGTCCCCACAGCCTCCTATCCCTTGAGAACTCTTCATTGTTGCCAGGCTGTCACACTTCATTCATTACTTAAGCATTATTTATTGAACTCCAACCTCATGCCCATCTCTGTGTGGGCACTGGGAGATACCCAGATCACTGAGCCCCGGCTTCTCCTCTTAAGATGCTCATTCTCTGGCCAGGAGAAGCCTTAATTTGTGAAAAATAAGGAAGTAATGCCTATTTTTAAGTGCTAATCAGGCTTGTGAGAGAATAAAATACCATTTCCAAATAGAGTTCATAAACGACTCTCACTTTCCCATGCAGCCGTTACTGAAAATATAGGTTTAGTTCCTGTTTGAAATGAAGGGAAACAAAATATAAAAATCTATTTTCATTTTGATAAAAAAATATATGAGTGGATATATTTTCATAAACCTCTGTTACATCTGTGGTCATCAAAAAATATTATTTTTGTTTTGAAAAACCAGAACACTTTGCTCCAGTTTGGGGCTCCTCTCTCAGTTCCAACATCTTGTTTGCAAAGCCCAGATGCATGATGGGCGATTAGGGCTGCCATCACCAGAGACACTCACTTACCAGAATCTACAGCCTGTACTCGAACCGGAGAGTCACAGCAGATGGTGAAGCCAAAGCCGTCCTTCCCCCTCGGAATGGTGATCTAGGACAGTTACTCTCTGTTACTCCCAGAAGCCATGAGCCTGCTGCCTCTGCTCAAGGTCGGAAAGCCCACAGGCCCCACCCCAGGGCCACCCTCTCCAAGGTTGCTGGAGCCAAGAAGGAGGCTGGCCAGCCCTTGCCATTCCTATCTCAGCCCAGGCAGCTTGAACACTGGGTTGTGGGCCAAGCAGGAAGGCTGGGAGCTCAGGAGGTAACCCCAGGCCAATGCAGGAAGCCTAGGATGGAGAGAGCCTTGGAAGAGTGAACTTGGCCTTCTTCAGACCCAGCAGGCATGTGGCCCAGTCCTTTACCAAAGGGGCCACTGGACCTGCACATCTCCACATGTGATACACAGCTGGGTCCATTCCTCCTTTCCCCCAGGGGTTCACAGAGCATCTGCGCAGGCCTGGCCCTGTGCTAAGGGCCCCGAGATGAAGCTAACATTGTTGCTGCCCTTCCAGAGCACAGGGGAACAGGGACACACATACTCACAACCTCAGGCCACAGGTCAGGGGACAAGTGCTGGCTTCTCAGGGCAGGCCATCACCAGGCATCCAGTGAGGAATCTCAGGTGAGGTGGCAGGTAAAGGCACAGATAGGCCTCCTGGCTGGACCTGAGCTAGCCACTTACCTCACTATGCCTGCTGAGGCCTGTGGGCATGGCAGGTCCACACCCCTACTTTTCAGAAGTCCCCTGAAAGGGCCCTGACACCGGGATGCTCTTTTCAGAGTAATATATAAAATTACTGAGGCCCTACTGCATGCCAGACCCTGCTGAGGTTCCAAGGCATGAAGCCCTGGTCTCTGGCTCCCAGTGGGGTACAGGGATACACAGATCTCTCCACGGCAAAGTGGACACTACAGGCACCAAAGCGAAGTGTGAGAACTGAGTTGGGAACAGTCTTTTGTGCTTGACCTTGGGTGACAGGCTTGGGGCACTGCAGGAACTAGCAAGCACTAAGTTAGTGAGAACAGCCCAGCAGCACCCCAGTCCCACCAGCAGCAGGAAGCCATGAGGGTGCAGCGCGGTCTGCTGGCTCAGTTCAGCTGAGCCATGCTGCACTCCCCGTGTGTGTGCCCTGCAGTTAGGCTTTGGGTCAGGCACAGAAAGCCCTGCCCCTGCCCACCCAAAGAGCAATTCCAGGCTGCTCGGAGCAGGTGTACGAGAGCAACAGACCTGAGGAGGCAAGAGTCAGCAGAGAGCTTCAGTGGGGTCCCAAGAGGCTCCCTAGAGGAAGTGAATGTGGAGCGGGCCCTGATGAGGCGTGAGGGAAGGTGTCCCAGGCAGGCTGAGGAAGAAGTCAGCTCAGCAAACCTGGGGAAGGTCAAGAGTTGTGGGCATGACAGGAGACTTCTGTCTCCATCCTTTAGGGTCTATCTCTCCAAGGCTGGGTGTTGGCATTCACCTGCTAGCTGTCCCAAAGACCAGGCATGAGGAAGGAGTGAGCTAGGGGGCCCAGGGTGACCAAAGCCTTGGAAGCTGCCGAGGAGGCCCCTGAGGCTCTGCTTCCCACCAGCCCTGGGCCTGGATTCAAAGCGAGTTTGTAAAACAGGAAATCTGACAGACAAGGGGAAGGGGGAGGGGGCAGGAAAATACCCTGTTCCCATAAGAATTCTGGGAAAACACGCAGCTAAGACAGGAAGAGAAAAAAATGGAAAGAAAGAAAGGAAAACAAACTCTGGAGTGAGTGTGAAAAGTCCAGGTTGAGGCTGAGGGAAGATGGCAGGCTCCTGGTCCACTCCATGCAGACAATGGGGATTTCAGGGGTCTTGTAACCCACCCTCAACCCAGGCAGAAGCTGAAATCCCACAGTCTTTCTATCATTTCCCAAGTCCTACCCAACCAAGGGCCACCGCTCCTCCTGCCTGGAGTGGCAGCTCTAGAAACAGGTCCCCGCACCCATGGGCTCAGTGCTAACAGTTTGGGGACTGGCCCTAGAGTTGAATCTGGAGAGGAGTGTGCTCCAGAAAAAGAGCCTCCCCCTCCCACAGCCTGGTCCCCTCATCCAGGCAAGGCTGTGGACTGGAGCTCCCTCCACCATCCTGGGCAGCATTGCCTAAGAAGAGCCATCCCAGGTAACAGTCCAGGCCAGATGGGGCCTGGAAAGCAGGGGGCAAAGAGAGGCTGTCAGGCAGCAAGCTCCTCTCCTGTCTCAGTGGGAGGAGATGGGGCCGTACGAAGGAAGCATTACACTATGCCCATCACGAGCACTAGCCATGCTGAGAGGACGGTGTCCAAAGAACCTGATCATCACCGCAGCCCCATTTCACAGAGAGGGACACCAAAGCCTGAAGTGAGGAAGCAGCAGCCCCAGCCCTCAGCCCTCCTCCCTGACTTCAGGGTCAGGGGTCAGGGGCGAGGAGCACAGCCCTGTCCTGACTCTGGGACCCAGGCAGCTCCTGGCAGAGGCCATCCTTCCTGGGGATGGTTCTTGCTCTTTCCTATCCAGGGCAGGAATTGCCACTGCTCCCAGATCTCACCCATGCCAGCACCTCACTTCTGCCCTCCTGCCTGATCATCTGTTATGCCTAGACTTCAATCCAAATCCCTAAATGTCACCACTAATTGAACACTTCCTATATGTATGTACACACCAGGCCCTGCACCAGGCACTTTATATACAACATTCCATTTACTGTTACAGTATCATCAATGGACACTGTCATCCCAGTTCCACTGACAGGGAGACTGAGGCTCCGGGAGGTAAAGTGGTGTGTTCAAGACCCACAGGTAAAGAAGGGCTGAGCTGGATTTGAGCCTAGGTCTGGCAAAAAGCTGGTGCTCTCAACCCTGAGCTGGTTTCTAGCACAGGATCTATTTTGCACTTGAGTCCCAGAGCCCCAGGCTAGCCAGTACTCATGTTTTCCCCACTCTGACAGCCAGCATGCTGGGACTTCTGGTCAACAGTCCCAAGGGGACCACGGACTTCTCAGTCTCCCATCTAGTGCCTGCTCTGCCTCATGGCTCTACCACCCACTTGCTGGTGTTGCAGGAGCCACTCTGCCCTGCTCCAGGGGGGTGCAGAGGGTAGAGTGGGGTAGGTCAGGGTGGGGCTGTGCTGGGCAGGACCTGAGAGCTGGGGAGGACTGGAGGAAGAACACCTGGGGTCCCACAGAAGCAGGGCCACCATGCAGGAGGCCCCTCTAGACATCTCCCTGGGACCTAAGGCTGGCTGAAGGTGTCAGGACTCAGATTCTAGTCTTGTCACTAAAATACACAGAGGAACTTTTCCATACTTTTAAAATTCAAACCATTCCTGAGCTACCATCAGCTTGACAGTCCCCAGATCTGGACATCCTTTGCCTTTATTCTCCCTCGCACCATTCCTTTCTTAAGAAAAAATGCCCATCACCCTTACTGGCTGCTAATGGATTGTCACTCCCACTCTGCCCCACATCCCAGGACTGGAGGCTAAGAGGCCAAGCCCTCTCAGGGATACCGGGCTCGAGAGGACTTGGGAGCCACCTCAAGGCATCACAGTCACCAGGGAGGAGAGCTGTGTGTGTGCATATACACAGAAACATCCCATCTCATATACAAGCACACACCAACACATGCCAAAACACACACCATCACACACACCCCACACAGGACAGGCACTGCTGTCCCATGAGAAGTAGGGCAAGTTGGCAAAAAACACAAAACTCAGCTGTTCAGCAACCTAGCCACTTCCCATCTCAGGCTTGGGATGCTTTTTCTAACCCATATTCCCCCAAAATAAAAATAACAGAAAACCAACCAGATAATCTCACCAAGGATACCACCCAGCCTGTGGTTAGGTGACACAGAGCTGGGCCCCATCTGCCCCCTAGAAAGGGGCAGTAGGTGAAGGCTCGACCTCAGATTCAGCTCCTGCCTCTATCCTCCCCCAAGATCAAAATGGACCTGCAAGGAGCAGGAGGCAAGGAAGGCCTCGTGGGGAGAGAAGTCCTGCTCAGGGGAGCTCCCATCTCCAACCCCCAGCAACAGCCCGTGCACCCCCCAAGGGGCCAAGCACCCACCTGGCGGTAGCGGCGCTCCGAGCACACCTTGCAGAGCCCATTGAAGCGGTTCATGGCTGCGGGTCCTGCCTCAGCTGCCGCTCCATGAAAACCCAGCTCTCCCCCCCAGCAGTGGGAGCCCGCACTGCGCCCCGTCAGCCTGGCATGACCGCCCTGGGAAGCCCGCCCCGCAGAAGAATGGCAGGAAATCACCTCTCACCTCCCCAAGCCCTGTCTGTGCTGTGTGCCTCTGCACGATAAGCCCGAAGGCTTCCTGAAACCTCAGAATGACAAGGAAGAGGGAGAGTTTTATATTAAAATTCCTGTCAACTAGTTAGTATTCCCCGGGCCCCGGCGGGGAGAGGGCGCCTTTGTTCTGGCTGCATTCTCCGCCATGGGCCACTTTGTGACTCCAGTGTTCTCACAAACACCCCTGGCTGGAGCAGAACCCAGGCAGAAAACGCGGCCCACTCCATAACAACGCTGCCTGCCCCTGCAAACCCCAGTGTCCCTGGTAGCAAATCCAGGGGACTAACCCAGCCTAAAGCATCCAAGGACCCCTTGAGGAAGTGCACTCACAGACACATCTGGAGTCTGAGGACGTGCCTGCCACTCAGAAGCTACTTACAAATCAGTTTCCTCATCAGTGTCTGTGGGCTGCTTTAAGGATTTGATGGCAGAGACCACAAAGTCACATTGGAAGGGTTTCCAATCACGGGAGGATCTAGTCTCCTCATTTTACTCATTAAACCACCTAGAAACCTACAGTGTTGATGTCCATGATTCCCACAAACCACCAGGGAGGCTCCCTGGTCACTCCCCTCTGCTCAGCAAGGACAGAGAGAGAGAGGGAGAGAAAGAGAGAGGGAAAGACAGAAAGGTCTTTGAGGTTCTCCGATTGAAGCTAGAAGTTTTAAATTCCTAATGAAACTACAGAAAACAATAACTGGCAAATTACCCTTAATACTGTGCTATCTAATACAGTTGTGACTAGACACATGTGCAAGGTAAATTTAAGTTCTTCAAATTAAATAACATCTAATATTCAGGTCCTGAGTCATTCTAGCCATGTTTCAATAGCCACAGGTGGCTCGTAGCTACCATATTGGACAGTGCGCCTCTAGCATGCACAGTCCATGAGGGCAGGGACGTTGGACTCGTTCACAGTGATAGCCTGGCACCCAGCACAGGGCCTGGCCCGTATAGATGGTCAATAATACTTAATGAATGGATGAGTGAGTGAATAAATGAATGGAGTGAAAAAAGTGAAAATTTTTTTGTAGATGATAATACACGTCTATTAAGATATCCTGGAAAACATCATGGTCATATCTGCCCAACCAGACGTAGGAGGCTGGATGGCACAGTGCACTTAGGAGGTGGCCAAACCATGCTTTAGATCCTGCCCCAACCAAGGGCAGGTTGTGTGGCCATAGAGAGTGACCTAACATCTCTGAACTTTGCATGTCCCCTTATCTGTGAAATGGGAAGTAACAACCACCTCCAAGGTGGCAGTGAGAATTCAATTAGACAACAGCACCTGGCACAGAGGGGCTACTCAACCACTGAGGTTTGTTTTTCCCTCTCTTCATTGCTAGAGAAAACCATGGATCACTTGTTATGTCATGCAAAGAGATAGAATGAATTCTAGGGAGCCCTCCAAAATCCCTATGTAACGGTTCCTTTATAGATTCAAAATCCAAATGGAGTGAGACCCCACTGGCCTCGGGTTCAGATGCATGGTTTAAACCTGAGAGGGCAATTCGGCCACAGTGCCAGGGTAATGAGGGGCCTGAGGGGGACTGTGGGAAAGAAAGGACTCAGCTTCAAGAGACCAAAAGATCCAGATTCCTCCATTTCCAGGGGCCAGGCCTGGCACTCTCCACCTTGCCAGGAGTATGAATAACATGAGAAAATCATAAGAAATAATACCATGAAAATACATGACTTGTTGATTATCCAAGGGCCAAGTGACCCTGAGTCCCAAGCATCAAATGCTGCCCTGTTTAGGGGTTTTCTGGGCCATGGGAGTGACCAGGAGTCGGTTAGAGTCTAGAGCAGTGCTCTGGTCCCCTCAGTCCTGCCCAGGCTTGTCCCCACTTACCCACCTACCTTAAGTTTCTCCTGATTCTCAGGGTCCCCACCTCCTCTGAGCATTCTCATTAGCGGGTCTGGAAAGTGACAGAGCAGAGTCAGAGTGTTTCTGCTGGCATATAAGGATATAAGGGTCCATCCCACAGACCACCCAGTGGGTGAGGCCAGGACGCCAGACCCATGCAGCTGCCCAGGTCACTCTTGGCCCCAGAATGTGGGGTGGTACAGGCCAGGCAGGGGCTCAGGAGCCAGGACTATGGGTGGGAAGGTCAGAACAGAAGGGAACACAAAATCCAAATCCTGAGCCTTAGGATTCTTGGCGGGGCCCACATGGCCTGCCCCAGCGGTGGACACCCCAAGGTTAGCAAGTTGGCCTTTGGCATCCTTAGACCACGGAGCCTGGGAAAGGGATATTCAGGAAGCTCCTGAAGCCCAGTACTCCATGAAGTAGTGTGGGGAGAGCTGAACTACATGAAGCCAGGCCCATAACCCACTCCAAGGAATGTCTAACCACGTGAAAAAGGTGCCGTGGGCAAGATGCTGTCTGCAGCCTGCATTCGAGCCTGCATACGAGAAGACCCTGGACCCTTGGCCTGATCGCAGCCAGGGGTGACAGGTGTCACAAAACATAGGGGAAGTGCTGTGACCCAGAAAGGGAACAGGGAAGTCATGGGGACACAGCCTGCATGGCAGAAGCTGAAGGCAGTGTGTACGCACCTCTCCGGGGCTGCAGTCGCCGTCTGGCCACCTTCAGGTGCTTGGTCCGGCCCAGGGTTTCCCCCAGAAGGTAGTACCAGCCACTGATCTCCTGTCATGAGAGAAGGCGTGACATGCTCAGACAAAGGAGGCAGAGGGCACAGGTCAGGCAGCCACACCCCCACTCAAAAAGCAGCAGCTAGAGAGTCTCCCTCAGGAGCAGCATCTCTGCAGAGACAGCCACTCCAACCCCCCAACTCCAAAGGGAGCTACCATGCCTGTACCTCCAGAAAGCCTTCCCTGATGCTCCAGGCAGAGCTGGTCCTCCCCTCTGCTCAATCCCCACAGCCTCTTGCCGCTGGAGGGCAACTATCGACTTGCATGACTGCTTCCCCAATTGGGCCATGCACAGGCTTTTCCAGGTGCCCAGCACTGTGCTTGGTATACAGTAGAAGCCCACTGAATGTTGACAGAACAGAAAGAAAGGAGTGAAGGAGGGGTGGGGAGGTCAGAAAGTAGGCATTCTGAGGTTCTTGAGCAGTTCGTATGGGGAGTCTCTCCTCCCAAGAGGGACGAGGCCAGGGCTGTAATCAAGAGATGGTATCTGGGACCCTCATGCAGGGTAAAGTGTCCTCAGCCACTCTACCCCAGACTTCACCTCCAGAAAACAACCTGGGCAGCAGGGCTGCCTGGCAACTCCACACAGCAGGCCACCAGGACATGTCTGGGAATGTACAGAAGGAGCACATCCCTCCTCTGTTCAGAAGCCTCTAGTTTGGTCGGGGGTGCAGGGCAGAGTAGAGATGAAAAAGGGACTGGCTACGCAGAGGGAGCGGTCTCTCCATCCCAAAGAGTCCTCACACAGCCTGAAGGAAGCTAAATAGAGGATGCTGCTCACTCCATCTCCGAGCACATGCTAGACCAGGAAACATTAGGCCTGGTAGACAGTGTCAAGAGGACACGTGACATGCTCAGACAAAGGAGGCAGAGGGCACAGGTCAGGCAGCCACACCCCCACTCAAAAAGCAGCAGCTAGAGAGTCTCCCTCAGGAGCAGCATCTCTGCAGAGACAGCCACTCCAACCCCCCAACTCCAAAGGGAGCTACCATGCCTGTACCTCCAGAAAGCCTTCCCTGATGCTCCAGGCAGAGCTGGTCCTCCCCTCTGCTCAATCCCCACAGCCTCTTGCCGCTGGAGGGCAACTATCGACTTGCATGACTGCTTCCCCAATTGGGCCATGCACAGGCTTTTCCAGGTGCCCAGCACTGTGCTTGGTATACAGTAGAAGCCCACTGAATGTTGACAGAACAGAAAGAAAGGAGTGAAGGAGGGGTGGGGAGGTCAGAAAGTAGGCATTCTGAGGTTCTTGAGCAGTTCGTATGGGGAGTCTCTCCTCCCAAGAGGGACGAGGCCAGGGCTGTAATCAAGAGATGGTATCTGGGACCCTCATGCAGGGTAAAGTGTCCTCAGCCACTCTACCCCAGACTTCACCTCCAGAAAACAACCTGGGCAGCAGGGCTGCCTGGCAACTCCACACAGCAGGCCACCAGGACATGTCTGGGAATGTACAGAAGGAGCACATCCCTCCTCTGTTCAGAAGCCTCTAGTTTGGTCGGGGGTGCAGGGCAGAGTAGAGATGAAAAAGGGACTGGCTACGCAGAGGGAGCGGTCTCTCCATCCCAAAGAGTCCTCACACAGCCTGAAGGAAGCTAAATAGAGGATGCTGCTCACTCCATCTCCGAGCACATGCTAGACCAGGAAACATTAGGCCTGGTAGACAGTGTCAAGAGGACCCCTGGAACAAACTATGACCTTCTCCAGGACAAGCCCAGAAGCGCTCGAAGCTCTGAATGTCCTTCTTAATGGCAGACAGCAGACCCAGAGCTTCTTGGGAGGACTTGGGGCTGTGTAACTACTCTCTGACAAGAACAAACCAAGAAAGGTATCTAAACCCTAGGTCAGGCACATGATAAACACAGCGCTGTTATTCAGGCCAAGGGGTACCTGTCTCAGCAGGGCACCATCTCACAAGCAGAAGCCCCACCCAAGGGCTTGCAGACAAAGGCCCCTGCCTGTACTAGCCCTGGCCTGGGAGATGACTCTGCCAGAAGCTTCCCTAGGACCCACCTTGTCTGGAGTCAGGAGGGACTTCACCCCGAAGCTCAGGCAGCCGATGAGTCCACTCTTTCTAGGAGAACAACAGAGGCTTGAGTCAGCCCCTTTTCCCTGGGTTGTATCAGGAGGTCGTTCAGTGTATCAGGGTAACATAAGTATGCCTGATGCACAGCAGTTTACCAAGCATTTTCACCTGCATCATCTCGTGTCATCTTGCCAACTTTGTGAGTTGGGCTAGAGAGGAATTATTCTCTCCATTTCATAGGGGGAAAAGCTGAGACTCAGAGTTCATCCCCTCCCAAGGTCACAAGACTAGTGAGTAGCAGAGTCCTGTGAGAAACCCAAGTGTCCTAGGTCATGGGGTGCAACTGACTCCCCAGCCACAGAAGCCCAGAACTACCTCACAGGTTTTGACTGTTCTGGTGCTAGATAGGTCTGCAGAGCTGGTCCCCACAGGGAATTTCAGCTCCTCCACTGATGCACAGTCAAAGGGAAAAGTTATGGGACCTCAAGTTCAAGAAACTTTGTCTCAGGTCCAGGTAGGACCTGGGAAGTTCCTGGATAGTTTCAGAGCGAGGTCCACACCAACCCAAAAATCATCAAGACCAACCTGAACTGGCTGGTCAACTAGGCATGAGCTAAAGGTCTTGTGGGGATATCACACTGGGGCAACAGGCTGAGATTAATTGTGTCCCTCTTGGCTAAGAGTAATTCAAAGTTCCTGAGGATTGTCTACCATTGAGCCCCCAGTGCCTAACTCTCAAGAACTGATACTTTCCAACTTCCAGAAATAATGACATCAATTAATATCAGTGAAAGGCAAGAAATAACCTCACTACTAGAAGAGAAAAAGAAGTTTACAAATCTATAGTTTAATGAGAAAAAGGCCCACAAAAATATCAGCAATGATTGTTAATGAGAAAGACACCCATGAAAATAATAATAATGATTGTATCTGGTAGGTGGGCTTAGAGGAGTTTTTGTTTTCTTCTTTCAGTTTTTAGTGTTCTCAAATTTTCACAGGGGAGAAGCACTTTTTTTGTAATTAGAAAAAAGAAAGCATAAAAGTATTTGAAAGTATTTCTTTCTACCACATCTATCCTAACACTAGAGTTGATTTTTTCTGCTCTCCTCTCTCTTAGCACATCCCCAATTCAGACCCCTTCAGAGATCACTTAATAGTTATTGATCAAAAAACAATACGGGTATTTAGACTGGAGTATAACCCTGGTGATTGGCTTCAGTATCTGAGGGACCCACATAGATGAGGGACTGGCATGCATTGTGGAAGGATATCAAAGCCAAAGATGGAATGAACTGGCTAGATGGGTTGAGCTCCCTGGAGATATGCCTCCCCAGAACCTGGTCTAAAGGGGCCTGAGAAAGGCCAGTGGCTCTACTCAGGGGTGCATGACAGAACTCCTTGAAGAGCCTGTCCAAGTCCTGTGCCCCAGTGCCTGCTCCCAGGGATCCAGGCACAGGAGGTCCAAGATGGGATCCAGGCATTCAAGTCTGGAGAAAGATGTCCAGAGGATCCTGCAGGGCACCCACCGGTGCCTGCCCAAGTCAAGGTCCAGTGGTCTAGAAGTTCCCTATAAATACATACTGTTTGGATTCTCCAGAAAGGGTGGCAGCTTCCACCTGACAGTCCTAAGCAAATCGAAACTGGTTTCTCACAGACAGCCAAATCAAGTGAGGGGCAGGGATGCAGAACGCTAGGGACTGATCCTCAGAACTGGTGCCCTTTCCCTGCAGATGCACACTCTGCACCTGGCAGTGTCTCAGCAACTGCTCTCACTCTGCCACTCCCCCCTGCCCTCTCTCCTCCCCCATGTCCTACACCATGTGCTCCACCTGCTCCCCCACTTCCTTGCCCCCTCCCATCACAGAAGGCCACATTAATCATCTCCCAAAGAAGACAGTGCAGTCACCCCAGTAAAGGGATCTTTCCATTCTGCCTTCCCAGCCCACCACCGAAACCAAACACTCCCCCCTCCCAGGAAGAGGCCAACTCGCACTAATGGAGAGGCAGCTGCACTGACTGTCATAAGCAGCAGACACTGATCTGAGTCACCTTCCAGAAAAGCCTTGTCAAGACTGTGCCAAAGTCCTCACCACCAATTTAATGTTGTTTGTCAATATGTTCAGGATCAAACCAGCCAGTACCGAGGTGCCCACACTGCCTTGTACGCTTCTCTTCCACCACGGGTATGACAGTAACTTTCTAATCCCCAGGCACACGCTTTAGCTGTGATAAAGGTTGCCTCTTCCTGCTCTTCAGTAAGTGGAATTTTCATTCCCTGGTGCTTGGAGAACGCTAAATGGTTAATAGCCTCCCATGAGTTTTGCTTCCTGCTAAGGGGCCTCCAATACTTCATGATAATTCAGGCCAAGTAGATAGTCACAATTAATGTCCATAAGCAGGAACCTCTAAGTGTTCTTCGATTAGCTACTTCATAAGCCTGCTTTTGAGAAAATCTTTGGAGGAAGAAAGACTTCTTTCACAGGCAACCTGAGTGCCCGGCAATATAGGAGTCAGCTTAGAAACTTGGGAACTAACACTCATCCGGGAGACTGCCTGAAATTTTACGAGGCACAAGTGTCAGGGGCCAAGCCTTGATTACTTCTGAATACTGAACCCTGAGCTCAGGGCCTGGAGCACAAAGTGAAGGCTTGACAAATGGGTGAATCCATCATGCCCATGGTTGGCAGGCACTGGGCAAAGAGCCGCACCATTAAGGAAACAAGACAAATATGCAGGAATTTAAATAGCAATTCAAGACAGCAATACAAGGGATGTCACTAGACAGGGCAAGATTGACAGACGAACAGTGCAGGCGACAAATGCTGAAAGCTCAGGGAGGCAAGAGGTAGTTTAGGGCTGAGATGCTCAAAGAAGGCCTAAAGAGTGAAGCCAGAGAGAACAAAAAGAGGAGCATTCCAAGCAGAGGGAACAGCCAGTACAAGGGCTTAGAGGTTCCGCTTCATGGAGCACTCAGGGAGAATAGCACTGTGCTCAGTTAACTTTTGAGCATAGGGTAGGAGTTCCACTGCAAAATGAAAATGCATTATTTTGAGGAAATGCACTTTAATGCTCTCAGGGACCTTAAACTATTTCTGTTACAGGTTCTGCTATTTAGTCTCAATTTATTTTTAATTTGATGGCTTAAATTAAACACACATTTTTCCATTCGTTTTTGCTTTCCTTAGGCTCAGTCTCCATTTCTGGTCACAAGCTTTCTAACATTATGGCACTGTACTTGGCATTTACATCCTGTTTGTAAAACAGATTAAAGGACAGAGTATGCTTACAGTGCCCAGGACAGCAAGCAGACTCCATAAATGTAGGTACTGTTCACAGAAAAGATCATGTTCTTCAAACACATATATATGTGTGTTTTGGTTGTTTTTAACGTGGTGCATAACATTACAATTCTTTGATTGTTCTCTGGCCACAAGTTCTGAAAACATTGTAATTGGTCCCAGAAGGTTCAGTTTGGCTTTCACCACATCATCACACAAAACATTTAAATAGCTCAGTACCATAGTCAATGATATTAAGAAATTACTTAATTTTTAAACATGAGAATGGCATTGTGATTGGGTTTTTTTTAGCCATTTCTCAGAGACATATGTATATATATATATGATGAAATGAGATGTCTGAGATTTGTTTTAAAATAACTCACTGCAGGAGGGGTGACTGAGTGCAGACATCCATGAAATAAGATTGGCCTTGTATTGATGACTGATGAAACTGGGCTATAAATATGTGAGAATTTACTATATTTTTTTTCTTTGCATATGTTTAAAAATATCTGTAATTTTTGAAAACTGTAAGAAACCTTAGAGTCTTTCACTGTATTTTACAGATGAGGAAACAGGCCTAGAGGTAAAAGAACTTACCCATGGTGTCAGAGCAAGTTAGAGCTAGACCAGAATCTGCAGCTCTAAGGCCCAGTTCTCTCAGCTCCCAATGTGATCACCATGAGGAGAAATCATGCAGCCTTTCCCCAGAACTTCTCTGTAAATCGTCTTGTTTCTCTAATACAAGTTCACAGCCATCACTGCAAGGCTCTTGAGGATTTGTGAAACAGATATTTCCCTTTTATCTCCTGTCAGTTTCAAAATGTAACTGCCACATACATGGTCAGCAGGACGATGTATATAAAACTACATTATAAATGCCATGGGACGTAGCCCAAGCCCCAAGGAACAAATGTATTGACATAGAAAGAATATGGCTTTGGAGTCATTTATCACCGCTGTGAGATGGTTAAGTGTATTATAATGTGGTAGTCTGGCACCAGACTGCCTGCATTTGCATCTTTTTACCAGATCCCAGCTGTGTCACCTTGGGCAAGTTACTGAACCTCTCTGTGTCTCCATTTCCTCACCTGTAAAAGAGTGACGACAATAATACCTACCTTATAGAGTGCTGTGAGGATTAAATGCATGGAATAATAATAATAATAATAAATGCAGATAATGCATGGAATAGGCTTGGACTAATGTCCAACACATAGCGGACATTGAGTGCTTAATAAATGTGAGCTGTTATGTAACCTCAGGCAAATTCCCTCGCTTTCATAAACCTCCATTTCCTCTTCTATGAAGAGAGGGACGATCATAATTCCTCCCTCTCAGGACTGTTATGAGGATTAAATAAGATAATGTATGTAAAGTGTTTGGCACAGAGAAGAGTTCAATAAATGTTTGTTTCCTTCCTTCCGTAATTGTCTTTCATATTGATAAGTTGAATGTCTGTCCTTTGGAGAAGCACAATTTGATTTGAGATCATTCAGCAGGGCCAAAGTTTCCTGCAGTCGCTCTGTCTGCCTGTCCAGCTCTGAGGCTTCCCAGTCAGAGGCGATTCTATACCCTGCCTCCATGCTGAGCTCGTCTCCATGGCGCTGGCAGCTGCAGCAGGGCCCGCTGTTAGAAAAGCAGGCCTGTCTGAGCCGGCTCTGTCCCTCTGGAGCTTTGGGTTGGGACTGTGACCACAAGTTCAACTGTGTTTTGTTTAATAAGGAATCTCACTTTCCCAAAATAGGCAACAAGTGGAGACACTGCCTCTGTCAGGCTGCCTTGCTGGGTGCTGACTCACTTTCCCCAGCATTACTCTCTTTTCCAAAAACCGTAAACTGCCCTGCTGCTTCTGCACCAGCTCCCTGCCGGCTAGCTCTGGCCTCAAGGGAGGGCCGCTTTGGGCAGGAAGGGCTGGGGGAGCAACTCCCAGTCTGGTGTCTGCCTCCAGCACCTGCTCCCCTCCTTGTCTCCGCCCAGTGGGCTCACCAGAAGTCCTCAGACTGTCCTCCTCTGGCTCCTTCACGGCTTTCCCCTCAAGAAGACTCTGACCCTTGATCCTTGGCACTCACTGTCTACCAGGGTGGTCTCACTGCTCAGAATGTCACCCACAGCCTTGGTGGTCACGGCTCCTACGTCCCTACTGCGGGTACAACCCTCTCTCTCCCCTGAGCTCTGGGTCAGCAAAGGCAGCCTCCTACCCAGCTCCCACACGGCTGCTCTGCAGGCTCCTCCATCTCACCCTATCCAACACTGGCTCCCCTTCCTCTCCAGGACACTCTGGCTTAGCTGGGGACACCACCCGATACCCAGGAGCCATCCATGACTTCTCCCACTGCTCTCACAGCCAAATCACCACTAAGCGCTATTGACTGAACCTCCTAAATATGTCCTGGGTCTATTTCTTCCCCTCTATCTATATATCATCTCCCTCACAGATCACAAGAATCTCCTAGCTCCTCCCCAACCTCCGAAAGACCTACCAGAATGATAGGTCATTCTACTATTCCCTCCTCAGCACCCTTTAATATCCCCCTATTGCCAGATTCACACACACCTAGTTGGCTGTGTGGCGTTCACCTGAGAACTTGTGTAAATGCAGATTCCTAGGCCCTAGTCATAAAGATTCAGATTTAACCAATCTGATGTGGCATCAGGGTACCCGTGTCCCTCACAAGCATTCCAGGTGATTCTGGTGCATATCTAGGATTGAGAACCACTAACCTTAGGAGAAAACCCATACTCTAAAGCAAACCTACAGAATCATACAATTGTGCTCATGCCAATCTCGTTACCTTATCTCTGGCCAGTTCCTACTTTGTACTTGACCCTCCAGTGAAACCAGTGAATTTGCAGATCTCACCCCATTCTTGCCCTGTCCTCTGTACCCTACTGGTTTTTTCTTCTGTCCTTTTGCTGGCACACCCACGAGGTAATACAGAGAGTAGGGGCTCTGGGGTCTAACTGCCTGGTTCCCCTCCTGGCTCTACTGTTCAGCGGCTCTGTGACCTTTCACTAGTTACTCCCTTTCTTAGCCTCAGTCTCCCCTTCTGAAAACCTAAGACAAAAACATACTCCTCTTAGAGCTGTTCTAAGAGTCAAATGAGATAATGAGATAATGCACAATTAACCCCTGGATTGTTGTCAATACCCAGTAAATGGTTGCTCTTGTTATCACCATGATCTCCTCCTCACCTGCACCCCCAAGTTTCTATTAGTGATCCTCTCAAGAGCAGGACAGTCTCTGACAGTCCCCTGTGTCCCCAGTACCCAAAACAATGTTGCCACATCCGCACCTAGGAAATGGCAGCTTAATGAACAAGGTCTACAGTGCCATAAGCACCATTCATGATAAATAGTAAATGTCCTATGAAAAGACAAATCCTTCATTATGAAGGTTGAATAAGGCTCAGCTATAAAGAGCAGACCAGCTATAAAATCTAGGGTAACTAAAAACCATTCAACCCCAAAATACCTGTGGGTCTCAGCTGGTAAGTTGAGATTATTTTCCTTCTCTTGGCCACAATTTAGTTCTGTGATTGCTTGACCAATGTTACTGGCTAAATCATGTTCTGGGTTTCTTGGGCTGTACCAGGTAAATGAGCCCCACTGTTCACAGCTGGCCATGGCTTTCAGTCAAGAGCTCTCAGCCCCCTTCCTTAGTAGCAAATTCTCTCCCCACCTACCGAGCACTCCTCCTCTGCTCTGTACAAAATGCCATTCCAAATGACCACGTCTGGCCTCCTGTGTCATGGCCTGCCTGCAAGGCCAGACTGTTTAGACTCTCCTAAAGCAAACCTTCTACCTCCTAATGTGGCCTCTCGGGAAGCCTGAGCCCACCATGCATATTCCCAACTCCTTGCCTTTGCTCATGCTGTACCACCCTGGAATGCCCTTTCAAACCTTCTTCCCTTATCTGATTCTTGATCTCTGCCCCAAGTTCAAGACCCCCACTTTGTCCATGAAGCCTTCCTTGATCACCTCAGCCCAGAGTGAACTCTCCCTCTTCCCACATCTACTCTCCCTGTTACTCACTTCATCCTTTCTTTCATCCAGCCAATGTTCCCTAAACTTCTATGTGTGAGACACTGGGAAGAAGGGTGACTAATGGTGGACCTGGTTTTCTAGGGGCTTCTACTGCCATGGAACCGAGCCTGTGTATATTGTTACTGTAATTTTTCTCCATGGAGCACCTGGTGTCCCTTTCTGAAAATAGGTGCCTTGAGAGCAGAACCCACATGTAGGCTGGCTGGCATCCCTAGTGGCCAACACAGTGGCTTGTTGATACCAGGAGCACAGCAAAAGCTCCTTGATACAATGAGCCTCAGCATCACCCAGAGTGACAGGAACTCAGGGGTGAGGCTCCCAAATTTACTGTTGCCTCTACTACTCATTCATCCAACAAGTACTAGGTCCTACTGTGTGCTGGTCGCCTGGCTGCCACCCACCCGCCCAGAGTGGGATCTCTCCTGCAGCCCTGCTGTTCCCCTCACCTGGAGTCACCTGCCCTGTTCCACACAGTGAACAGAAGGCGCTTCTGTTTGTCTTCCTCTTGGATGGGACTACAAAAGCAAACCAGACAGAAAGAGTGTTAGTAGGGCTGAGCTCCAGGCCAGACCCACAGAGTCCATCATAATTGCAAAATTTGGAAATAATGTAAACACCCAAACATAAAGAGCTGGTTAAATAAACTCCAGCACAAATAATGTGGGAGGTGCGTATTTACATACATAGAAGAGTTTACATTACAAGGTTAAGGACAAAAGGGAGGTTACCACACAATATTAAGGAACTATTCCATTTTTGTAAACACACATACACACAGATTCAAAGGTCTGAAAAGAAATAAATCAAGGCACATCAGGGAGTAGTAGTGTTAGGGGTGTTTTTCTTTTCTTCTTTTTTCTTATCTATATTTTCTTTTTTTTTTTTTTACATCCTCTATTTTATTTTACTATATATACAGTTGTATTTGTTGCTCTTTAATGTAGAAGACTAGGTGCAGCCAAAAGACATCTAATTTTATTCAACATGCCAAGGCTGCATGAAATTGTGGTGAGAATTGGGTCCAACTTTGGCAAGTTTTCCAACTGCATTGAACACAAGCATGGCATGAACCAGGTCGATGAGAACATAGGCAAGGGAAAGGGCCATCTATGGTTAGAGAAAAGCTGGATGTGAAGTAAACAGTGCTGGTTTTATTTTTCTCTAAGTTTTTTATTTTCTCCAAATTTTTCATTGGAAAGATGGTTTCTTTGAATTTTTGCATAAACTGAACAGTTAAAAAATTACTGCAGTAGCATTTACCAGTAACATCTTGACTGGGCCCTTGGGTGGTCTTATCTATATTTTCTATCTTTTGACAATAAGCAAAATTGCCTTGTGTAGTTTGAGGGGGTTAGGAAACAAATTTATTAATTTTCACTAATAGGAAAATGTAAAATGTCCATTAGCTTCCCATTAGCCCCAGAGAATAAATAAAAATAACAACAACAATAACAGCTGACCTGTGTCACACGGTCTCATCTACACCTTGGCTCTCAGAGGGTGGTACTATTATTAGCCCCATTTTACAAATAAGGCTGAGGCTCAGAGAGATTAGCAAGTTTTAAAGGGAACAGGGGCTTTACAGGCGAGAGACCAAATATCCTTCAGCTTGGAAAATTCCTTCTGCTGGAAGAGAAAGCTTGGCCCCAGGCTCGGTGGGAAACTGCCTACTCTTCAGGGGCTGCCAGCCTCAGGCTGGGCATTTTAGTTATGAGAACCAGCCAAGTGATACCTTATCACTGTGGACCTCACTGCTGGGCCAGGTGCCAGAGATGCAAGGACACAAATGAATGAGAAAACAAAGACATCCTTTAAAAGTCACTGTTTTTCTGCTTAGATCTACTTCTAGATTTGGCAAACAGAGCTGTTTCCAGATAAACACTCCTTCGCTCTCCTCTTGAGGACCTGGCTGCCCCAGACTCTTACAAGAAGAAGTGCTCGTGGAAGACTGGGTCTCTGCAGTCTGGGATGGTCTGTGTCTTCTGACTGCGTAGTCGGTTATCTTCTGGGATCAAAGACATCTTGAATTGGAGAAAAGTAAGCATTCGGTGATTACTCATGGCAATGGAATCACCTAAGCCCAGCAGCTGACTGTGCACACCTCCCAGTTAAAGCCTTCCTTCAACCCAGCCTCTGCAGAAAACAGACTGAAAATCCTCAGTCAGGTGCTGGGAAAGAACGAGGAGCCCTGGGCTGGAAGCACTGGAGTCAGATGACGGACAGGGCCCTGTAGTGACAGCCATGGGCCCAGCCACAGCTGGGGAACAACTTGGCCATGTCAGCTCTTCCTCCAAGCAGGGAGGTAGCCCCCAAAACACAAGGCCTCATCTCTTCTAAGCTCCCAGCAGCTGCTGAGTGCTCCCTTTCAAGAGGCTTCATGTCAGCCTCTGCCAAAGCCCCAGACCCATGTGCTCACCCTAGTGCTGTCTGTCCCAGCCTCAGCCTCCCATCCTGTCCCTGACCAAGTCCTTGACCACAGGGACCTCTGACCAGCCTAGGGGCTTGGGAAGAATGCAGAGAGGTCCATCAGGGCCTGCCCCCAGCATCCCGGCTACCACATTCTAGGAAGCATCTGGCCTTTGGCTCTGGCTGGAAGTAGGACCCTGCCCCATGGGTCCTCTGTCTTCACTGCAAGGGTCCCGCTCAGACAGATCTTCCAACCCTCAGAGACACTCTCTCCATTCTGCCACCCAAACCTGGCCATCCTGAGTCTAGTTTTGGGAGACAGCAAGGTAAATATATTGGTTTCCATAAGAGGGTTTGGGACTATCTGTGGATTTACATCACCCACACACTTACTATGCTTGCCTACATGGCTGGCCAAGATCACCTGTAAGATTCCAGCTCTTGCAGGAAGTCCTAGGGACCAAGCCAGGCTACCATAGCTCAGAGCCTCCCCACTGGGCCTAATAAATGCCTGCTGCCCATATGACAGGCACATTGATCAGTCACTTCCACCTCAAATGGACCCAGGCCCATAGGCGTGCTGGGACTTTGGGACTCAGTCCAGTGACATGGCCCCTCACCACCACCCCAGGCCCCCATAGCCATGCCCACCTCCAGCTCATCATATACCTTCACGTAGGGATCACACATGCCAGGCTCTTTGCTCATCAGGCCTTTACCTTCTATAACTAAACAGAGAATTAAAATGTTGGGGTGGGTGGATGGGAAGGTTTATTACCAGGTCCCTAATCTGCATAACAACCATTGGATACTAACCCCTCTCTTGTCTAGTCCATTCCCACCATCGCCCACACTCAGGCAGCAGCCTCACTGAGACATTATAGGGTGCATTTGATTCCCTGAATCTCATATCTGGAAAGGAATGTAAAATTTACATTCCTGAGCCAAGACTCTCACTTAATGGGGAAGGTAAGACTACAAGGGAGGTCCAAAGACAGTAAGAAACTTGCCCAAAGTCACAGATTGATGGGAATGTCAGAGCTGGGTTTAAATCTATGTCTGCTGACTCCCAATACAGTGCTTCCTCCACCACACAAGCCTGCCTCCCAGGATGGAGGGGCCCAGGTGAAGAAGTCACCCTGCACAGCCAGCTGCTCTGTGGCTGACAACAGCATAGCACAGCAGGCCAAAGCTCAGGTCCAGAGCAGCCAGACTTCATGAAGCCTAGCTCTACCCCCTACCAGACATGTGAGCTACAGCATGTTGCTTTACCTCTCTGAGACTGAACTTGCCATCTGTTAATGGGCAAGTGATATCAACGCCCACTTCACATGGTAGTTGTGCTGATTAAAAGAGAGAACTTGCCTAAAGTGCTGAGTAGTGTGCCTGGTAAATAAGTAACTGCTCAACAGAAGTGTGCTAAAGAAAAAAATAATAAATAAAGGCAAGGAATAGGTGGAGGATGGGGAGCAGGTCTGATCATGGAGTGAGCATGGCCATGTGCCATAGATCTGCAGGAATCAGACAGTAGACCTGACAGAGGCTGAGCCTTTTTTCTATTTTCTTTTATGTTCAGTTTTGATTGAGCCCTAGGGTTTGGCTCAGTTGGAACTTCTGTAGTCTGAGCATGAGGCCTGGGAAGCCAAAGGAAAGAGGGGACCAGGCTGGAAGGGATGAAGGGCCTGAGACTGGGGTGAAGCCAAAGCAAACTGTGCAGGACAAATGGAGTGGCACAGGCCAAGATGCATTCTGCAAAGAGTGTTTGCACAGCTGGAGTCAGGCTCTGGCAGGGAAAGAATCCCCCTCTGCTGGTCCTTGGGAACTTCACCTTGGACCCCCCAAGGCCAGGGCCAGAGGACCCCAGGCGCCTGCTGGTCTACTCTGCCTGGTGTCCTAGTTACAGTTCCTGTGTGCATCCTTCCCCTCGGGGCGTAGTCTCTGAGGGCAGGATCCGGGCCTTATGAACCCCCGGCTCCCCCTGGCCCCCATGGAGCTGAGGCAGACATGGCTCCTGCCCATACTGACTCCCAGTCTGGTGGGGAAAAGACCCTGGACAGACTAGGGTGACACAGTGTAGTCAGGGCTGTGATGAGGACACAGAGGAGGAAGCCACAACCTCAGCCCAGACAGGTAGGTCAGGGGGTGATTACTGGAGGGGAAAAAAAAAAAATAGCCTTCCTTCCTGAGTCTTAATGATAAATAAGGCAGGCATGTTTCTTGCAAAATCAGAGGGAATTAGAGTTATTTTCCAAAAGAAAAGTTCAAAAAGGAGGAAGCCTGTTTCAAACACAAGGAACAGTAAGTGCAAAGTTAAAGACATGAGCAAACATGAAGCATTCGGGGGTGGGGTCATTAACTGGACTGGACAGGTGGAGGGTGACTTCAGCAGCGAAAGCCAGGGAGGCTGGGGAAATGCAGGGAATGCTAGGCTGTGCAGAAGAGCCCAGGCCATGAGTTCCACCACAGAGGCTCAGGAAATATTTGTGTACTGGACAGGAGGCTGAACGAATGGATAAATAGCCAGGTGAAATGTAAAATCCTCTGGATGGCACAGAGGACCTTCATCGTGTGGCCCCATACTCACTGTGGAGCAGCAGAGCCTGGTCCTGGGAGTCAATCGACAGCTTCAGCTGACCTGAGGAAACAGCAACAGAAACAACTTCCCCTCACCTCCTTGTTGGGTGAAAAATGAAGTAAGAGTGACAGGAATGCTCTTTTGTTCTTGCAAAGTGATTCAAAGATTCATATTGTCTCTCGATTGGAAGGGAGCTCGGAAGCCACATAGATAGTTCAACCTCCTCACCACATCAGGAGTCCCTTCTGCAATACCTCCAGCACTGGTTCTCCAGCCTAGGCTTGTACCCCTCTGTTGATGGGGAGTTCACGACTTTACAAGGCAGTCCAGATCAATGCTGGGGAGTGCTCGCTGTTGGACAGTTGGAAAAGCTGTTGCATTCACATCATGGTGAGTCTAGACTAGAGGGTTAAGGATACTGGCCATGGTGGGGGAGGCCAGCCAAACCCCTCCAGCTGTGACAGACAGCTAGCTATACTCTGGGAAGGCAGTAACAACACTAGGACATAGGACAAGTGAGTTTGAGAAAAAGCGAAAGAAAAGAGATCAGCTGTGGGTAGAGACCCTTCAAAAGCAATGCTACCAACCTCACCCTTCCACAGAATCCTGACCTCCCTAAAGAAAGGCTAAGGTTTTCTACAACCTTGGCATAGAGCCTTGCTACTACAAGTGTGGTCCACGACCAAACAGCATCAGAAGCATCTGGACAACAGTTAGAAATTCAGAAGCTCAGGCTCCACCCCAGGCCTACTGAATTCGAATCTACAATTTAATAAAATCCCCAGGGAGTCACACACACACACACACACACACACACACACATTAAGGTTGAGGAGCCCTGGACTAGAGCACACTAAGAGCCTCTGAACATGTTTATAAGCTTGGAGAAGGCCCTCTTAAGCAAAACGCAAAGTGCAGAGGCCACAGGGAAAGGAGATAAATCTGACGCCACAAGATTTTTTCAATGTCTGTTACAATTCAAGATATCATAAACAAAGTTAAGAGACAACACAATAGAAAAATAGGCAAAGGTCATGAACTGGGTACTCAGAGAAGACAAAATGGCCAATAAACCTACAAAAGGATGCTCAACATCGAGATCTGGGACATGCAAAACAATAAAAGACCATTTTCCACCAATCTGATGGACAGATCGTTTAAAAGATAATGTCAAATTTGATGGTAAAGATGTCAGAAAACAGGTATTCTCATACCCTGTTGAAGGAGTGTAAATGGAGGGTAGATTTTGGCATTTTCTATTCAATTTAAACATGCATATCCTCCAACCTAGCAATTGTACTTCCACGTAACTGTCATAGGCAAAAACTCACACATGTGCACCAAGGTTGGCCCTACTACAGCCTTGTTTAAAATAAGAAAATACTGAAAACCCCTGAAAAGTCCATCAATATGAAAATGGTTAAATAGAACCATCTATAGTTGTGCTATGGAATAGCACAGGTTATAAGGGATGGGGAGCGCCACATGTCCTGACACGGGAATATTGTTGAGATACATTTTTAAGTGGAACAAGCAAACTGCAGAACAATGCATTCTGTATATATTTTTCCCTGTGTGTGTGTGTTCTGAGAGAATGTCAAATTAAAAACAGTGATCACCTCTAGGGAAGAGACTGAGACTTGGGAGGGAGGGAAGTCAAGAGGAATTTAAATCTATCACCACTGTTGTTGTTTTAACAATGAAAATATATGAACTAGAGCACCTCTATAATTAAAAACAAACCAAAGGGGGAACAAAGAAAGAAGGGAAGGGGAGAGAGAAAGGAAGACAATGAGGAGGCAAAAATGTGAAGGTAACAGGACAAGGGCTAGAAAGCAGGTAAAGGATAGGAGCCTGGATGAGGTTTTCCCCCTGACTTTCCAATTTTTATTTTTTTAAAAACACAACATAAAAACAAAACAAACATCAGGTCGTCCTCATGGATGCCCAGTAGCCCTACAGCATGGACAGAGGACAGAAGGACCACACTCCTCTTCCTCAGTGACATGTTGAAAAGTTTTTCCTAGAAACTTAAGAAGCCTCTGAACTCAATCCACCCAGTGAGCATGAACTGGGAAGGCAAGGAAGGCAGGGCAGGGCCTCTGTGCCAGCATCACTGCACACATCAGCCAGGAAGCCCTTGCGTCTGCTCCATCCATAACACCCCTGTTTAGCAATCCTCTGCCTCTGCTTGATCACTTCTGGTGATGGGGAGCTCACTTCTTGCAATGGGAGCCCTTTCTCTTTTGAGATAACTGATTGTTTAGGGCTCTCTTTTACTGAAGAAAAGTGGCCTCTGAGTGACTTACATTGATGGGACTTGATTCTGCAGTCTCGGCACTCCCTCCTCTAGATCAAGTCTAAAGTCCTTCCACCATTCTTCATGGCACAGGGAGACATCCCCTTATGATCTCAACTGTTATCTCCGGACATGCCCCATGAAACTGAGATGATGGCTGGGGTTTGTGCTTTGTTGTGAGCTGGAGGAGGGCCAGGCAGGGTTCAGAGAACAGGAAGGAGGGAAATTCCGCAGCAGTCCACCAACCACTGTGACCCGGAAACCACTTGCTTTTTGTACTCTGGGGTGTTTAAGCTATAAGCCCAAGCAATTCAGACTCCAGCAAAGCCCGGTCCAGCTCTTCACTCATCAGAAACCCCTGCTGCTCTTCTACCCAGCACATGGGTCTCAGAAGCCCAGGAGGCCTGGTCCAGTTCCAACCCTGACTACACTCCTCTCTCTCAGAGCCACATTGCCCACAGCAGTGAGGTGGAGTTAATAATAGGCGTTATCAGACTGTCGAGCTGTGTGGGGATCAGATAATGTTGGAGGGTGAAGAGGTCCTTGGATGAAAGGCACCACGAGAATCCAGGATATTATTAGCTCAAGGTCTTAGCAATTACTACTTTGGGGCTCCCTGGAGCTGAGAAGCCTCTTACGAACATTACGCCTGATCAGTGTGGGGTGGAAGAAGGAAGTTTGGAAAGAAACAGGGCCAGCAGTCATGTATGGTATCTCATCAACCCAAAGGTGTCTATATTTAACAGGAACCACTCCTTCTGAAATATTACCAGTGCAAAGCCACCTCCGGGATGAGCACATTTGGCTTCCCAAAGCTGTGGGAACCACTGCACAGCACAACTACCACCTACCAACTGTCCCCCAGACATCAGGACCAAGAAATCTCTCAACACAATGGCCACTGATTCCATTTGACAAACACTTGTCAGGCACCCTGACAAGGCCCTGAGTGAGGAAGGGCAGATCTGAATGGCCTGGTACTTGCCCTCAGGGAACTCACTTCCCAGTGGCTAGGACAGGGCCATGGGTAAGGAGGATGGACCAGGGGCAAAGCCTGACTTGGAAATCAAATGCGTCTGCACAGCTCCATGCAGCAACCCTTCCAGGCCCTGCCAAGCAAGTCTCCCCAGGGAGGACCAGCGTGTCCTATACATTGTTACAGACAGAAATCAAACCCAGGAGATCAGGCTGCAGGCTCCCAGTACAGGCGACACCCTACCCACGTCCACCCTCAGGCTCACAGATGAGGGCAAGATGAAGAATGGGACCTTCCCTCAGTGATGCCCATCCCCTCTGTCCTCCCTCCTTGGCTCACTCCATCAAACGTGTCTGTGACTCAAGGGCCCTGAAGTCACCTGCACAACTTCCTCATTTGGTAGCCCGAGCAGTCATGCTCAGAGATGGAAGGTGACTTGTCCTGGGCCCCGAGTGACCAGGGTAGGCCAAGCCAGAATTGCAGACCAGAACTCTCCCTCAATTAGAACACTCACAGCCTCTAATGTGTACCGTTGCACCTGCCAGAAAGATAACAGTTCTAAATTTCTATGCTCTTAATATTGCTTCAGAATATATAAAGGAAAAACTGACAGACCTATAATGAGAAACAGACAAATCTATAATCATAGTAGTAATTTTAACATACCTTTCTTGGTAACTGATAGAACAAATGGGGGAGGGGATATCATTAAGAATATAGAATACTTGAACAACATAATTAGCAAACTTGACGTAACCCTGACATAAACAAAGAATATTACACCAAACTACTGCAGATATTTTCAGGTACACACAGAACATTTATAAAACTGACTATATGCTGAGTCTTCAGAGGACTGGAAGGATGCAGAGTATATTCTCTGACCAAAATGTAAATAAATAATAAAAATATTACCTGGAAATCCCCCATAGCTGGAAATTAAGAAATACACTTCCAAATAACCTATAGGTTCAAAAAGAAGTAACCATGAAAATTAGAAAACATTTTGAGCTAAATGATAAAGAAAAAAACTACCTATCAAAATGAGGCTTCTGATTATTAGCAAGTTTGACCCTAGTAAACGTTACGCAGGTATTTATTTGCTTTGTGATAAGTCACTGAACCGCACATCATTTGGGGGGATACTTTTCTATATATGTGTTATATTTCACAATAAAAAGATTTTTTTTAAAAAAAGAATATAGCTAGTAGGATTGGAAAAGAGAACAACGTGCTACCTACAGGCCAGAAACTTTGAGCACATTCCCAAGCAAATGGACACCAAATGACAGAAAAGCCAATAAACGCTAAAGACCCTGACCAGCAAATGATGAGTTCCTGAGAAATAGTTGAATGGGTTTCCCAGCCATGCGCAGGGAATGCCCCAGGCTCAGGGCATCAGGACGAGCCAGGGACAGCTGGCAGGGGCATGTTGTAGGCCTCCAGTTCAGGGCCTGACTTCACATTGCCCAACACACCAAGCAGCTGGCTGGCATCTGTTCTCAAGCTTTACTCTCACCAATAAAATGGGTTTTCTTTTACCTCTGTGGCTTGAAATGAGAGGCAGAGAAAGGAATGGGAGGGGCCACAACTAACATTATACTGCCACAGCAAACAGAGAAAAAAAAAAAATGTTCAGCAAATTAATGACATTCTCTCATCTACCCCACCTTCAGAACCACAACTTCCTGACTTCCTTCCGGTGAACTGAGGATCCCAGGCACTCCTCTAGAGTGTTCATGCAGAGCTGCTCCCCAAAGCTTTCATCTTGCAGGTTCATTTGGGGATAACAGTTCTAAAGAGAGTTGGGTTGTGTCACCCACTGTCCACTACCTGCAGACCTCAGAAAGTGTCCAGCCTGCCTATCATTCTCTGCCCCAGACACCCTGGAAGAAAGGCAACCTATTCTCCCCCAACCACTCACATCAAGGCACCAGACCAGAAATCTCAGGCAGGTTAATAATTTGTTGCCCAGTCAAGCCAATAAGTTGGTATTCCTTCAAGAAGATATTCTTTAAATATTTATCAAACATCTTTGTGAATTTGGGTTTATATTTTCTACATAAAATATGTCTGAAATTCATGTGAAAACTCAAGGAACCCAGAATAACCAAAACAACCTTAAAAAATAGAAGAAAATTGAAGGTTTCATACCTCCCAATTTCAAAACTTAACTACAAAGTAACAGAAATCAAGACAGGGTGGTATTGGCATACGGATAGAAATATAGACAAATGGAATTGAATTGAGAGTCCAGAAATAAACTCATGTATGTGCCATCAAATAATTTTCAACAAGGGCACGAGACCATCCAATAATGACATAATAATATTTTCAACAAATGACGCCAGGACAACTGGATAGCCACATACTCAAAAATGCAGTTGGACCCTTTCCTCACACCATATATTAGAATCAACTCAAAATGGATCAAAGACCTAAATGTAACAGGTTAACTATAAAACTCTTAGAATAAATCATAGAGTAAATCTCTGTGTTCTTGGATTTGATGATGGATACTGAATATGACATTAAAAGCATAAGAAACAAAAGAAAAAATAGATAAATTGGACTTCATCAAAATTAAAAACATCTGAGCCTCAAAGAACACTATCAAGAAAGTGTATCAAAAAACCCACAGACAGAAAATATTTGCAAGTCATGTTATCTGATAAGGGACTTGGATCTAGAATATATAAAGAACTCTTACAACTCAATGATAAAAAGACAAATAGTCTAATTTTAAAATGGATAAAGGATCTGAATAGATGTTTTCCCAAAGAAAATGTACATATAGCCAACAGGTACATGAAAAGATGCTCCATATCACTTGTCATCAAGGAAATGCAAACAAAAACTACAATAAGATATCACTACCCACTACGATAGCTAGAATCAAAGGGTCAGATAGCAGCAAGTGCTGGTGAAGTTGTTGAGAAATAAAAATCTCATACACTGTTGATGGGAATGTAAAATGGAGCAACCACTTCAGAAAAGAGTTTGGCAGTTCATAAAATAATGAAACAAAGAATTTCCATTTGACCTAACAATTCTACTCCTATGTATATACCCAAGGCAACTGAAAACATTGGCCCACACAAAAACTTGTACATGAATGTTTAATGCAGAACATTATTCACAAAGCCAAAGAATGGAAACAATCCAAATGTCCATCAATTAATGAATGAATCAACAAAAGATGTTGAATGAATCAACAAAAGAATCAACATATGCATATAATGGAATATTATTCAGTCATAAAAATGAAGTTCTGATACATGCTACAACACGAGTGAACACTGAAAACATGGTGCTAAGTAAAAGAAGACAGTCACAAAAAAAATTCACATTACATGACTCCATTTATGTGAAATGTCCAGAATAGGCAAATCTATAGAGACAGAAAATAGCTTAGATTGCTTAGGGTTGGCAGGCAGAGGAAACTAGGAACTGGGAGATAATAAGCTGAAGGGTACAGTATTTCTTCTTGAGGTGATAAAAATATTCTAAAATTGATTTTGGTAATGGTTACACAACTCTGAATATACTAAAAACCATCAATTGCACACTTTAAATGAATGAATTGTATATATGTTAATTATATCTTAATAAAGTTATTTTTTAAAACATGTTATCAAATAAAACTAGAAGATATAATCCTAAAAAAAATATTATGTACAGTTTTAATGGCTTCTTCAAATTGCACCATTTCTCATTAAAAAATCCCTCTGGAATAGTTAGGTTCTAGACCCAGTTTACATGTTGCGCTTCCCCGAAGCCAGACCACCTCCTGCTAAAGCAGTATATGTCCAACCAATGTTACCTGAGCATGTTCCTTATTGGGGGACATGCATGCACACACACAAAATATAATAACCACAACATATACCATATAGTACTCTCCCTGAAAGGAATTCTGGTCAGAACAATTTTGTCTTTTCATCGTTTCAGAGATGCTGGCTATTTAGCTCTCTTTAAATGTTTGTGCTCAGTAAACTGCCAGATAGGCAGCACCATCACCTGGTTCTACCAGGAAAATGTCCACTGCTGAAGGCCAGGGGCTACCTGCCATGCTGGAGAAAGGCCAGTGAACTGAGAAAAACTTAGCAAAGACCTTCACGTTCAGGGAGTACATGATGGTTACCAAAACTGCCTGGATCTATAGCTTCCAAACCTGGCTGGTTGTCAAAATACTTTCATGGCTTCTGAAACTATAAATTCTCAGGCTCCACCCCAGCTCTAATCAACTGGAATCTCTGGGAGAAGAGCCTAGGAATCTGTGTTTTTAACAAGCTCCCGAGGTGCTTCTGAAAATTGGCCAGGTTCAGTAACCAATGGTATGAATCTTACTCATGAGCAAACAAGCAAAGATCACTTAGGGTATGAAGAGAATCAGCAGCCTGAAAGAGGGGTGGCATTTGTCAAGGAAAGAGAGTCAGTACAGGAGACAGAAAGGAACTTTTCTAGGGTCCATCATTATCCTCAGAAAGATCTGAGAGGAGAGATCATACATAAGGGGAGCAGAAGGCTCCCCACCCCACCAGGTTGGCGCCTGCACGCTGCGCACTCCAGTCACAGTCAAGTTTCCAGCAGCAAACTTCCCTGATACCATCTGACCCAGCCCTGAGGCCATGACTCCCTGTTGGGCTGGACCCTCCCCAACTTCCCAAACTTGGCAAGATGATTAATTCAATATAAGAAAATGGACTGATGCAAGGAAATAGTCACATCATACCAGTAAGGAAAAGAAATGGATTACAAAACTATACATACTGTATGATCTCAGTTTTGTTCAAATTAGACACACACACACACACACACACACACACACAGAAATAAGTATGGAAGTTTGTAAAACAAAATGTTAACAATGGTCTTCTCTGGGGAGTCATATTATAAGTGATTTTCACTTTCCTCTGTTCACTAAGTTTTCAACAATGAATACATTGTGTGGTGTTAATGAGGTGGGAAAAACAACAAAACGCATCTTTACTTTTTAATCAGGACACAGCAAAGGTAACAGGGCCTCATGGTTCCCTAACACTCTTTACTAGTCATACCAGGTCCACCAACTTAGATTGTCCCAGAAATCTCTCGTCTGGTAGAGTCCCTCATCCCAGTAGGGTTAACAGGAGTTGCCTCCAGGGACTGGGAGGATTAAATGAGATAATGCAGGTAAAGCACTTGGCACAGCCATGGCACATGGTGGGTGCTCAAGAAATGGTGGAAGTTAATTACTCATTGTTATCCTCCCCCAACTGAACCAGTGAATTACAGAAAGCCAGACACAGGCCATTTCTAAGGTCCAAGCCGCTGCCTTTCCGTCACTCCTACCCCCAAAGAAAAAGGCAGGCTGAGAAGAGCCAAGTGTGCTGACACAGGTAAGCCTGAGAGTAGGAGAGCCAGAACCCCAAGAGGGGCCTAACTCCTCGGCAGCTCTGTCTCCTAAATCTGAGCAAAGTCCAGGTATGGTGCAGGAAATGCCACAACCTCCATAAAGAATATTATATACAAATTCAAAAAAAAATGTGCTGGATGTCTCAGAAGGCCTGAGCCCAAGTATGAACTCTACCACTGGCTCACTGGGAGACCTTCCTCTCTCTGGATCTCAAATCTTCACAGACAAAATAAAACCTCACCTCACAGGAAGTTGCCAAACCAGTGAGGAAGAGCTGAGAAGGACTGTGTTCTAGGGCAGTGCTGTTCTCTTACTGTGGCTACTTGGAAGGCTGGGCCTGTTCAGACCACTGGGGCAGCTGCTACCCTGCTGGTATTTGGGGGAACCCAGTCCTGCTCTCTAGCGGATGGGTAGCAGGACCCTACTCCTCAAGTGTCTGGAACAGCCCTGTGACCCTGCTATAGGTCAGATATCCACTGAAGCCATCACACGGCAGCTTCCCACGTGAGCCCACGAGAGGCCAAAGCCACCTGGGCTGACCCAGCACCTGTCGGGTCCCTGAGCCAAAGGAAAGAGGACCGAGGAGGTCTCAAGATTTAGTAACAAGACCTTGATTTTAACCCTGTGCTGCTTGCTAATGGGAAGCTCAGTGGTGACAAACAGTCTCTGAAAGATAACTGGGGCGTGATTATTCTGGCCCAGTGATTCAGAACCCACTGCACTTAGCACCAGTGGCCAGGCAGCAGCAGGGATGCCCAGCGGGTGCTGGGCCTGAGCCTGTGCCCTGAGCTCCTCAGTGGCCACCACAGGAGGAAGGGGCCAGAGAAGGTGGCCCCGAACAGAAGAATCGCCTGCTCCCAGCCTCACCTATCCCCATGGGGGCTGTCCTGCCAGGGAGCTGAGAGCAAAATGAAGCAGCCCCTGGCAGCCGGCTGGAGCGGGCACTTACCAAAGGTGGTGAGATAGAAGGACAAGTCCTGGTGGCCGTGCCGGCTTCGTACGGAGACTCGGTGCAGGGAGCGCTCCATGGCGCTGGTAACCCGAGGCGTCTGTGTTGCTCCCCAGTAACCGAGGCAGCAGGTTCACCCGCTCCCCGCCCCAGTGAGCCCCTGGCGCGGGGCGGGAGGCCGGCTGCACCGCGCGTTTGAACTGGCCGGCGCGCCAGGCCCTGATTGGCCCGCTCGAGTTTGAACGCGGAGATTTCCACCTGACGGAGCAGACGCGGGCCAGAGGGAAGGCGGCTCCTTCCCCCCTTCCCCCCTTCCCCGAGCTGCAGGGACAGCAGCCGTCCCCCAGAAGCCAGCAGGACGCTGCGGCCACACTGCAGCGGCTCTAGGCTGTAAGTGCCAAGCTGGGCTTGGCTAGCTCCCCCAGGCCCGCAGTTAAACCAGGTTTGTGACCTGCCTTGAAGCTCAGACCTGTAATCACCAGACCCAATCAGCATCCTCCTGGCCCAATGCAGTGGGTCTGGAAAAGAGTTCTCCCCACCTGGACTGGCTGCCCTGAGGCTGCAGCCCCTTCCCAAACCCTGACTTCTCCTTCGTCCCCTTGAGCCTCCTCTTTATGAGAGCAGCCAGGCACAGGCCCAGACTAGAGCAGCTTGTTTCAGCCAGCCTCGGGGACCCCCATCCTCAGCCTGGTGCCATGGGACAGGAGGACAGGCCCCCAGCCTCTCAGGGGCAGAAAGGCACAGTGTGCAGAGGGAGTAGGTGCTTTCAGTCTCCAGAGCCCGCAAAGAGGCAGAGCTGGAAGGAAGGTCAACCCCTGCGCTGCTTTGTGGGCAAACATTCACGGGAAGCCTCCTGGGAGCAGTTTCACACCAAGACATCTGCTCTGCAATGTTGCTGCTGTTGGAGGGAAAGCTGCTGGTCTTATGTAAATCTAAAACTGGGAAGTCTCAGAAATTGCCAAATGCGTATTTGTGGCTCATCGATCCACTCAAGACAAGGTTGGGGGTATGCAAGAGAGACAGTGGGGAGAAAAGTTCTATGTATTGAGTACCAGGTGTCAGGGTCTGAGCTGAGCAATTTGCATCCATCACCTCATCTCATCTTGATAGTAATCCTAGGAAGTATTAGCCCCAGTTTGCCAGGGATAACTCTGAACCTCAGGCAGAGAGAATAGGTGACTTGACCAGGTTCGCAGAGCTGAAATTTTAACCCAGGCCTTCTGCCCAGAGGCCATCCTCATTCTGTTCTTCCTTGGACTCCACTCCTGCCCCATGGCCAACAGCAAGTGAAGATAGCAGAGCCATGTTCTTGGGGCAGGTAAGGAAACTAGATCACAGGGCCAGCTGACCATCACTGGGAGCAGCAATGGGAGAGGGATCCCTGAAATTAGCAAACTAGTGGTCAAGGGCAAATGAATTGCATAAAGGCTAATGGCCTGTTTCAGTCCTGTCACTTTGTGAAGCCCTGCTCTACTCTTCCCTCACCCCCACACCATAAGCACTGCCCTTAGCAGGGGCAAGCCTACTCCTGGCCCCAACCCAGAGGCAGATAGACTTACCTGCACCCTGGATTTGAGTGTGCCCAATCTTCCTCCCAACTGGGGAAGTCTGAGTCCAGGCATCCTTTCTGAGCAGGGAGGTATCCTGACCCTGCCACTCTATCCAGCCAGGGAAAATGGCACAAGCCACAGTCAGGATATTGAGGCTTGAGGTGCTGTAGACCTGCAGGAGCAAGATGGGAGCATGAGTTATGCATGGCCTGAAAATGCCTCACAACACACTTAAATATACCATGAAACATACACACATTCACATACACGGATTGATTACAAGACTGACTCTATAACTAATCTTTTCTAACTCAGTAGGAATTAGAAAGCATGGTGTTCTGGAGCCCTGGGTGACAGTGGCCCCTTCACAGCTCTGCCAGGGACTACAGTGGCTCCTGCACTAGAGACCACCTAGCACTCAGGAAGCTGTGAGCAGACTGCAGACGCACACTCAGGAAGGCAGGACCGGCAGGAGAGCTGGGCAGAGCTGCACTTTCTGACTGTGGCCTGGGAGAGAAGAGACTGAGGCCCATGCTGGGCATGTCTGCCTGACTCAGGACAAAGGTCCCACTGCCTTGCACATTCCTTCCTGCAATGGCTAACCTATTCAGTTAGGAGGCCCCAATGCTACTCTGATCCTGATCTGGCCCCTCTAAGTAGCACCATCTCCACTGCTTTCACCACCAGCAGGAAGGACCATTTACTTAGTAGAGTGCTGGAAGCTTCCTTCTCTTAAAGGGGAAGGTTGCCCTTTTCTCAGAGGGAGAGAAGGAGGACAGAAGGGAATGGGAGCCTGGGAGTGGCCCTGCAGGAAGACTGGCCATATTAACCCATACTGCTGTCCACAGGGGACATCCAGAAAGGGTCACAGTTATGGTCCTGTTTTCCCCAGGGAAACAGGAGAGTTGGAGAACAGCTCAGCTTTCTGACATATACTGAGCACTATGGCAGCCTCTGGCCATGGGCCTCAGAATCTCTCTTACACCTCACCCCACTCCACATGTGGCATAAATACACTATACACTCAATGCAAACACACACTGCACACATACACATACATACCATAGCACTTCCCAGGTGCACATATAAATATACCATATATACAAACATGCCCTACACATACACACACACACACACACAAATGAACATACCATATTCACACTTCACTCACATGTACAAACACACCACACAGGGTAAAAATGCATCCTGGGCACATACACAAGCACATAGACACACACCACACACTCATACAACACAACACACTTAAATACACCACATACATACACCACATTCCCATACACAGATTGGTTACAGGTATTTTTTTTTAAGACTGACTCGGCAACTAGAATAAGGGCTGCTTGGATTTGGAGAAATGGACTTAAGGGATTTATTTGAGTACATTTCCACATTAGCTATCAAAGAATCTTAGTTCCCTTAAATATCATCTGGCCCAATATCCAAAAACTTTGAAAAGTAATAATAAAGGCACCTAGGACTACCAGATATTATATGGTATTATAATAATAGCATAGTACCAGAAAGAAGATGAACAGAACAATGAAACAGAATAGAAAGTTTAAGGGGAAAAATAATTTTATTTAGAAAACAAGAAAGATATTTAAAGAATTTCAATAAAGACTCATTTCAAAAAGTTACAAGAGGAACAAGCTACTTCAGATGAAATTTTTACAGGAAATAATAAAGCTAAAGTTGAAATTTACTTTTTTTAAATAGGCTTCAACAAGAAAACCAAAGTCTGGTTCTTTGAAAAGACCAATAAAGAAGAGACTGAGGCCCATGCTGGGCATGTCTGCCTGACTCAGGACAAAGGTCCCACTGCCTTGCACATTCCTTCCTGCAATGGCTAACCTATTCAGTTAGGAGGCCCCAATGCTACTCTGATCCTGATCTGGCCCCTCTAAGTAGCACCATCTCCACTGCTTTCACCACCAGCAGGAAGGACCATTTACTTAGTAGAGTGCTGGAAGCTTCCTTCTCTTAAAGGGGAAGGTTGCCCTTTTCTCAGAGGGAGAGAAGGAGGACAGAAGGGAATGGGAGCCTGGGAGTGGCCCTGCAGGAAGACTGGCCATATTAACCCATACTGCTGTCCACAGGGGACATCCAGAAAGGGTCACAGTTATGGTCCTGTTTTCCCCAGGGAAACAGGAGAGTTGGAGAACAGCTCAGCTTTCTGACATATACTGAGCACTATGGCAGCCTCTGGCCATGGGCCTCAGAATCTCTCTTACACCTCACCCCACTCCACATGTGGCATAAATACACTATACACTCAATGCAAACACACACTGCACACATACACATACATACCATAGCACTTCCCAGGTGCACATATAAATATACCATATATACAAACATGCCCTACACATACACACACACACACACACAAATGAACATACCATATTCACACTTCACTCACATGTACAAACACACCACACAGGGTAAAAATGCATCCTGGGCACATACACAAGCACATAGACACACACCACACACTCATACAACACAACACACTTAAATACACCACATACATACACCACATTCCCATACACAGATTGGTTACAGGTATTTTTTTTTAAGACTGACTCGGCAACTAGAATAAGGGCTGCTTGGATTTGGAGAAATGGACTTAAGGGATTTATTTGAGTACATTTCCACATTAGCTATCAAAGAATCTTAGTTCCCTTAAATATCATCTGGCCCAATATCCAAAAACTTTGAAAAGTAATAATAAAGGCACCTAGGACTACCAGATATTATATGGTATTATAATAATAGCATAGTACCAGAAAGAAGATGAACAGAACAATGAAACAGAATAGAAAGTTTAAGGGGAAAAATAATTTTATTTAGAAAACAAGAAAGATATTTAAAGAATTTCAATAAAGACTCATTTCAAAAAGTTACAAGAGGAACAAGCTACTTCAGATGAAATTTTTACAGGAAATAATAAAGCTAAAGTTGAAATTTACTTTTTTTAAATAGGCTTCAACAAGAAAACCAAAGTCTGGTTCTTTGAAAAGACCAATAAAATAGAACTCTGACAAAACAAAGAAAACTACAAATAAACAAGTTTAGGAAAGAAAAAGATAACCAAAATACAAAGTTAATCCTTTATAAGAAGAGAAAACATTGCAACCTTATTCTATAAATTTGAACATCTGGGGAAAAACAATAGATGATTTTCTAGGAAGTATTCATTACTAAAATTGAGACAAGGGTTTGAATTTTTAATAGATCACTAACCAAAGATAAAATACAAAAGAAAATCAAACTCCACTTGACAAAATTAGAGAAGACCCAGATAGTTTTAGAGGTCAGTTCTATAAGACCTTAATGCCTATGTAATTTAAACTCTTCAGAACTAGAGAAACTAAATTTGTCAGAGCTAGGTAAGGTTAAGACAAAAATCAGATAAGGTTAACAATACAAAATTACAGACCAAAGGCCAAAGATAAAAATAAGAGTAGAAATGATAAAATAGAAACATACGTTGAGAAGGTCTATTTAAAATGTTACAAAACTGGGCCCACATTCTCTCAGTTTGCCACATTTCTTTTTTTAAAGAAAACCCAGAAATCTCAAATTTTTTATATATTTCTCCCAATGTTTTAACTTTGGTGATTCATTCAAAAAATTTTTAAATATTTTGTAGGCCAAATAAAACAATCCTCTTCCCTATAACTAGTTTCAAATCTCTGCTAAACTAATTTGATTTATGAATATAGACACAAAAATCCCAAATAAAAAATTAGCAGATCAAATCCAGCAGTATATTCATGATCAAGTGGTATTTATTCCAGAAATGCAAAAATAGTCTGAATTTAATGAACATTCTAGTGCAGGGGTTGACAAACTATGCTTACAGGCCAAATCCAACCCATTACCTATTTTTGTACAGAAAGTGAGCTAAGAATGGATTTTACATTTTAAAATGGTTTTAAAAAGTTTGAAAAAATTAAAAGCTTTTCTGTGGCCATAAGATTTTTAAATATCTAAACTAAAAAAAAAAGTGAATCTAGGATATTTCTAAAATATATGGCAAATAGGTATATATGTACAAAGAAGTCTTACAGATCAGTAAGAAAAATATAAATATACCAGAGAACATGAATAATCATTACACAAGAGAGGAAATGTAATTGACTAATGCATAAAAACTAGTAACCAAAGAAATAAAAAAGAAATTTTAAAAGAAGGAAAAAAAATGCCTTCAAGAAGTTCAAGCTTTTGTATTTACAGATGAGACAACTAAGGTTTAGACTTGTTAACTGAATCAGGTTGCTAAAGTAGGAAATAAAGAGTAGAGAAATAAAAATCCAGCCAAAAAATGATGCCCACCCTCCTGCAGAGTAGCTGGGCTACAGATCTAGTGGGAGTGAGACCTACATGGCTACACACTAATATTCAACAAACATTTGCTAAGCTAAGTACCTATTTTGCTAAGTACCTATCTTGTGCTGAGCCTTCCACTGAGCATTGAGGACACAGAAGTGAACAATATGGAGTTTATAACCTAGTGGGAGATTGGATGAGTGTTCAATAAAGGAAATATGTCAACCTGTGGCTACACAGATTAACATCTCACTTAGTCTGGGGAGCTCGGCAGACTTACATGATAAAGGAAGTCATTGAATATTTCTCAAAGGAAGTGACCTGAAGGATGAGTTAGCCAAGCAAAGGAGGTGAGAGAAGGGTTACAGGCAGAACGAACAAAACACGCAAAGGCCAGAAAACGAGAGCGAATCATTGGACATTTGAAGAACTGAACAATGGGAAGTGTGGCGGGAAACTTACAGTTTGAGGGAGGGAGTAACATGCAAGACAGTAAACATCATACAGGGCTTCATATTTTATTAAAAGGAGTTTGGTAGTTGGTGCTCCAGATGAATATCCAGATACTGATCCCCCATCCCTAGATAATTGGAAAGGGTGCTAAGTGAGCAGAAACTCATCACCCAGCGGAACTATCAAAAGTGTACCTCTTACAAGCTTTAAGATTTGTATTTCTGTAGAAAGGAAATGTATTTGTTCCATTTGAGTCCATGCAGCATCATCCCTGGAGATTTTTAAGAGTGGGTTAAACCCAGCTCTGAAAAATTGTAGGTCTCT